TGGATGATCTCTATATGGTTCAGTGAACCGTGAACCAGAATGATAATTTAGCTGCAAAAACCATTCTTTTTCGAGAAGTTTTTAGCGTCAATGGTTTCCTTGGGCTATCGACAAAAACGAGGGGAATGTCTGAAGTTTCATGAAAAGTGACTACATTAGACGTTTCTGGGAAGAACAGTGTATAGTTCCAAATATATTGCATCTCAGTTGTCGCTACAAGGTTACAGCAGACAGTACCAGACGTCTTCATGACGTCAGCACTATTACTTATTTAAAGTTCCTCTCGAAGTCTTACAAAAACGTCCTATTTACTGAAATTTGTACGTAAATTATAATGACGTTTTTTTTGACAATTGTAAATTACAATTTTTGTTAGACGGTATATTATTATTATTATTATAACAATTTCAAGCTACATTTTCTCATAGAGGTATAAACAATACATACATTATCAACATTAGAAAGCAACTAACTAAAAAAAAAAAGGTTTATGAGACTATTGTATTGAATTTAATCCTACGAGCTCATTCCGCAAATTTTGCTTTTGCTTAACGGAAAGATATTGCAATTTTAAGGTTCCTTGCAAAAAATTAGAATTTTATATCGCCTACAAGTTATCCAAAAAAAAATCATAAACGGGCGCGCTGTCCGCTGAACCGGTGGATGTGACGTCACCGCATGGGAAACAGATGCCGCATGCTTGCGTGTGTTGTCGGTCGGGTAGTTGAGTTGTAGTTGCCTGTTAAGTTTCGATTGAGTATGTTAAGATACCGAATTTTGGTAGCAATATGGAAGACACAGAACAGAAAAAAATTACAAATATTGTAAGAGTACTACTGTGAAGACGCAAGACACCTAGGAAAATAATAATGTCCCCGTAATTCTGTGGTGCGGATCTAAAATCAATAGTCTATTAGTCTCTACTTTGATTTGTCTTTTTTAATTTCTTTTATTTAAAAAATGACTTATTTTGAAAGCAACAAAACTACCCTGCGTAATTTAGGTATGTAATAAATACGTATGTATCCTCTAGAAACACCATACACTTGTGTTTTCCATTGTTGATTTTTTTGTGAATATTATACAAATACCTATAGGTACTAAGTATTTATATAAAAATACAGAATAAATATTATATTATTAATATATTTATAAGATATTAGGTAGATTTTATTCCTTGGGAATAAAAATAGTAATAAGAATATTTGAATAGGATAATCTTTGAAACCTGTGACAGAAACGGAAAAAATCATATAATTTGAAAACCGCTCAACGGATTGAGTTGAAAATTTCAGGATCGCCTAATCATGAGCAATATTTCGTGTATACAAAATAAGAATGTTTTTGAAAATTCACTGAATGACCCCATTGGCTTTGCCTGTAACATTCTCATTGGAATATAATCAACTTACCATTAAAAACGTCTAAAAATTACCTTATTCGTCGATAATCACGTTAATCTTTGCCATTCTACTATAATATAATGTTTTTTAGGTAACATAATGTTGTTTTAAATGTTTTTTAAACTCCACGTTCGTGAAAAACGACACACAAAAAAAAGCATTTAACAAACCAATTTTAGTATCCATTTCCCGAAAAAAGACGTCTAAAATATACTTCACTGGGTGAAAATTGCTTTTATCCTCGCTATTTTATATGGCTCTATCCTACTTTAGGTATTTTGACTGACATAATGTTTTTTGAGCTCAATTTATTAACCGAAATGTGCAAAATATTGAATTTATCACCAAAAAGACGTTTATGAGACTTCCTATCTGTCAAAATATGCAAGTATGAAAACAAATTTATTAAATTCAACAGTTTTCGTCCACGTAATGTGATATCAATGTTTTCGAGCTCCATGTATTCACTAAATATAAAAAAAATGTCGTAATTAGTACAAAAGTGGCATCTAAAGGATGTCCTATTGGCTGAATATTGTTTATATGAGAAGTAATCTGCTAAATTATACATTTTTTCTTCAACATAATGTCATTTTTAGGTTTTTGAACTCCACATCCACTAAGATATATCAAATATATAAATTATCATTAAAAGGTATCGAAAACACGTCTTCTTTGTCGAAAATATTATGTATGAGCGATATTTTACTAAATTTAACATAAAATTTCGTCTGTTGGTGAAGATATTTCTATTTCAATGATTCAAAGACCAGCACAATTACAGACAATTACAAGCACTAGAATCAACTTACCAAAAAAACGACGTCTAAGAAATGTCTTATTAGTTGGAAATTGCTAGCGATTCTTTTTTAAAAATGTATTTTGATTGACAATATTTATTGAGCTCCATATATTTATTGGGATGTAAAAAATATGCAAATTATCGTCAAAAAGACGTTTAAAACCCGTCAAAAATTGCATATACCTATGTTCAACGCAATTCAACGTTTTTGGTCGATTATAATATAATTATGGATTGTAGTATAAACAAATTTCCAAATTGTTACCAAAGAGATATGTCCATAATGTAATTTTAACGATTTTTGAACTACGTCCATTAGGATATAAGAAATATGTATATAAATTATCATTAAAGATATGCAAAGAAGTTTTCTTAGTCGAAAATTTTATATAGGGTGTCCGGTAAGTACCTCCTAATCTCTCGGGAGTGTATAGGGGAGGTCAAAATAAGTCCTTCCTATAATTTTTTTTCCTAATGTGCCCCCTAACGGAGTTATGGGGGGTCAAAGGGGTACCTAGAAATTAACGTTTAGGGTTATAACTTTGAAACCACCCTGTATATTTTAATAAAATTTTCGTACGTTGTATTACACATGGAGCTCTACGATTTGATGCTAAAATCAACTTTTTGCTATTATCAGGTGTCCAGAAACGGACTGGCCCTATCACAATTTTTCTCAAAATTTTGACAGAAGTAATTTTATCAAACTGAAAATATTATTATTAGATACTCTGAAGGTTTTTCTTTAAAAATGGTACTCTTTATTTATTTCGAAAAAATGAACGGTTTGCGAGATAAATCGGTTTTGAAAAAAATTGGTAACAAAAACAACAATTAAAATTTATTTTTTTTACATATTATTTCATGCATTTAATTTCTTTAACTTTATCAAGTCCAGAAATCTTTGAACGGGTTGGCTATACTTTATGAGCAAGTAGTGACCAATTAAAAATAACATTTGAAAAATAACTTACTTACAAGACATGCAACAAAGAACATTCAACAATGAACAAAGGTACCTAAATGTTACTTCGGTAGATGTTCAAAATGAGCACCCCGTACTTCAATGCACTTTCTAATCCTACGAATGTTTTCCCGGTGCACTTGAAATAATATTCCGTGATTATTGCGGAGATGGTCACAGTTCTGTGTTAGCCTCAGCAGAAGTTCCTCTCTACTATTTACGGGTGTTGAATAAACGTTATTTTTTAAATGACCCCACAGAAAAAAGTCTAATGGGTTTAGGTCGGGCGACCTAGGTGGCCATAATACAGGTCCGCCTCGACCTATCCATCGATCACCAAAAACATTCGTCAGATGTTGACGTACTAAACGATCAAAGTGGGGTGGTGCACCGTCATGCATGTACCACATTTCAGTTCTTATTTGAAGGGGCACTTCTTCTAACAAAATATTTAGATTTTCCTCTAAAAATTGCAAATAAAGAGCACCATTAAGTCTTTGCTCCAGAATAAATGGACCAATCAAATGATTCCCGATAATGCCAGCCCACACATTCACCATAAACCTTTGTTGGTAGCGAGTTTGAACTAAAGCGTGAGGGTTTTCTTCATCCCAGACATGTAGATTATGCGAATTAATTATGCCGTCTCTTGTAAAACCTGCTTCATCGGTGAACAAAATAGATGTACCAAAATTATGATTCCGAATATGATGCTGTAAAAACCAATTGGCGTATTGAAGTCTTTTTGGATAATCATCTGGAGACATAGCATGTACTTTTTGGATGTGGTACGGGTAAAGCAATTGTTCTTTCAGAGTTTCATGTACAGCCCATTTTGTAACATTGTTTTGCGCCGCAAGCTTCCTTATGCTATTTGAAGGATTATTAGCAACGTCTTCCAATATTTGTTCCTCTACATGAGGGTCTCGTACTCTCCTCGGGGCTCCTGCTCCACCACGGCGTGGCAAAAAGCTTCCTAAATAAAGGATTCGGAAGAAATTAGTTTCACTAACGTTTTTCACTATTTTTTTTTACCTGTTTCTCTTAAACTACGATCAACTCTTTCAAAAGTTTTTGGACTCGGCAAATGTCGACCCGGAAACCTTTCCTCATAAAGTCTTCTTGCCTCCACGGAGTTGCATAATGCTTCCCCATAAATTAGGTGCATATCAGCATATTCTGCACAGGAATATTCTTCCATTTTTAAATGTTATTTCTAACGGCTTAAAACGAATACCACAATAAAATTGAATTTTTATTCTGTCACGCGCCTTTGACAAGTACTTTAAAATCAACAGGGTCTAACAACGAAAACAATAGAAAAGAACTCCATGGAGACAAGAGCAATAATAATTTGTAGATGTATTTTGGTCATAGATGTTGATTTTACAAGAAACGGCATTATTCATTCCCTTAATTCACCACCAGTAAATGTTTATGGTGAATCTGTAGGCTGGCACTAGCGGGAATGATTTTATTGTAAAAAAAATAAATTTTAATTGTTGTTGATGGAGGGATGGAAGAAATATGCAATTTATCACTAAGGAGACGTCTAAAAAACGTCGTATTGGTCGAAAATTTTACGTATGAGGAGTACACTGTTCAATTTTAACTTTTTCTCCGACATAATATCATTTTAACGTTTTTGAATTCCGTGTCGATGAAAATATAACAAAAATATACATTATCACCAAAAAAAGACGTTTCTAAACGTCTTTTTGGACGAAAACTGCACTTTTTGGTCGTATAATGTTATTTTAACCCCCTTGGACATTGCATTTTCATTGGATCGCCAGAAATACGCAAATCAACAACAACAGGACCGACTTACCCCTTCCACTCCTCCCCACGAACCTCAGATCGTTGAACTTGGCCACCTGTTGCTTCATCACGGCGGTGCAGTTCCTCAATTCGGCACAATAGTTCTCGTCATTACCGGCCCGAACTGTCACTGGGGTCCCGTCCGCGACGTCCCCCACCACCACCACTTTGAAGGCCACCGGCAGAGTCTTGTTGGAGCGCCAATGGTTGGGCAACTGGGTGCAGAGGATGTAGGGGCTGCCCGTCCTCACCAGCTGGTCGCCGGGGTGCTCGGACTGGATCTCGTGAAGTCGGTGCTCGAACCAGTAGAGGTCCGGGTTGGTCCCGTAGCCTGAGGGTGGCTCGCACATCGTGGATTTGGGCCACGCTTCTTCTGAAACGTTGCAGGCGGTCAAGGACACTGGCAGATGCATCACCTAACGCGTGGGTCTTTGGTGTGGTCGACAACTGGGGTTCGCTGAAGGCTCCGGGTCTGGACGTGGTATGGCTCTGATGAAGCTCTTGGTTTCTTCTAAATCTGAAAACGAGATACCGGGATCACAGTTTGGGGGAAAATGAATGAAGCAAAAGCTTTGTCTACTAAGGAGACGATAAAGTCCAAACAACAAGCAATTTACATTAGCACAGGGTGTGGCGTGTATAATCTATAAAAATTAAACTACAGCTTCCTGATGATAGTTGTAATAGAAAGTCTTATACGAAAAAGTTCTATCTTTGTTTTGTTTTTTTTTTTTGTAAATTAGAGTTCATTTATTCAACGAAAATGAAGGCCGACCCTGTGTTATTTATTAAAAACTTTGGAAATGTTTTTATGCTATCCGAGATGCAACCTTATAATTTAAGTCGGTATAATCTAATACTAGTAATACTAAAAGAAGGTTAGGTTACATTGTCAAAAAATGTGTGCAGTCAACTGATTTTGTATTTGTATTGAATTCATTATTGTTCTTACTTTGCTTAATTTTTTATTTTGTGCACAAACTAGTTTTACAATGAACCTAGAAAACAATGCATTTACTATTTTCGAACGTGTCGATATGGTGTTAGTGTATGGTGCAGCCGGAGAAAATGCGCTCGCGGCGACTAGGTTGTACCGGGAACGATGGCCACAACGTCACCCCCCATAAGCAAATACAATCCTACAGTGCGTTCAGCGGCTGCGAGATACGGGAAGTGTTATTCCTCGAGGAGAAGGACGTGGTCAGCAAGTGAACTTCAATGTTGAAGATGCAATGTTGGAAAATCTTGACGAAGACCCCACAATTAGTACTCGATGACTCGCACAACAAGTAGGAACCTCATCTCGTACCGTACATCGCATCTTAAGGCGCCAACTGTAGCACCCCTATCATCTGCAACCAGTTCAACAGATTTTACTCCCGAATTGTGATCAACGAATGCGTTTTTACAGATGGTTTTTACGGCAATGTGCTAATCAAGTATACTTTCCTGCTTATGTTTGTGTAACAGATGAGGCGACATTTAACCGTGATGAAATAAATTTCCATAATATACCCATATGGGCCGATGAAAATCCTCACACGATTAGGGAAACTCATTTTCAACATGGGTTCTCGGTAAATATTTGGGCTGGCATAACAGCCGATGTACTTGTGGGTCTCTATTTCTTTGAAGGACGACTAAGTAGACCACCATATGCTGACTTTTTGGAGAACCGGTTGCCTGAATTAATAAACGATGTGGCGTTACAAGTTCGGGCACGCATGTTTTATCATCAAGATGGGGCTCCTCCACACAGTACTCAAGAAGTAACGACACTTTTGAATGAAATGTTTCCTCAGCGATGGATTGGACGCTTTGGTTCTATGCCGTGGCCACCTAGGTCACCCGATCTAACTCCAATGGACTTTTATCTTTGGAGTCAATTTAAGCCATTAGTTTACAATACTTCAATTGCTACGGCGGAAGAATTGTGAGACGTATACTTGAAGCTGCTGACACAATTAGGGGAATACCTGGAATTTGGGAAAATATTCGCCAAAAATTGAGAAGTATCTTTCTATCTTTCAACGACGATTTGTTTACGCGGCTAGTCTACAACACGTAACTCATCGTACAGCGCACTGACAGGACCATTCCAGAGAAAATATTTTGATCCATAATTGAACTTTAATTTATGAAAAAAAAACAACTTTTTCGTATAAGACTTTTCTATTACAAATATCGTTAGGAAGCTGTAGTTTAATTTTTATAGATTATACATACCACACCCTGAATAATCCATCTAATTGAGTTGAACGATCTAAGAAAAAACTGTCTGTGGGCAAACAATATTGTCATATCTAGTTCCAATATTTCCCATTTAGCTAGGAAGTGTGTTTTGCGAAGGAAATATAGGACCGGCACAAAAAATAAAAAAAAGTGGTGGCCTTTGATTTGACCCAATAGCCTTTATGTATTTTGACGTATTAACTCTGAATTTGAAGTTCGTTTAGCTCAAAGACTACCAAAATCTTGAGTAATTGGTAAAAAATAGTGAAAAATGGCCGAAAATCACGTCAATGAGTGCAAAAAAATTTGTTCTGAACATGAACGAGTGGGTTTCTTATATATTTTAATATGATAAATCCAAATCCACAGTTTTTTAAGCTGCATCCCCCAGATTTTGCAAAAATCGCAAAATAATAGCAAAAAATCACCAAAAATAGCGAAAAATCGTCAATAATAACGTTAGTGAGCGAAAAAAAATTTGAAAAAATTTTTTCTGACCTTGATCAAGTGTGTTTCTTATGTATTAGCTGCATCTTCCCAACAGATTGCAAAGAAACGCAAAAAATCTTTAATAAATGTCACGGATATGAATTACTTCCGGTATAATTAACTGATTTTCACAAAAGAAAAGTTTCGTATTTAGTTTGTGTTTAAATTAATTTTATTTATTGTATACCAATCCAATAAAGAATTTACTACTGAATGGCATCGTTGTCATCGAACTTCGAATGCGAATTATTTGTCGTTGTCTTACATATGTATATGTGTAAGCTTATCCCTCTCGTGTTTCTGCTTATTGAGGAGGGGTTCGGTGTAAATTAGTCACGTATATTTCTTCCTAATGGTTGCTTTGATTGTTAAAATATATAGTGTTTTCATGTATAAGAAACAAGTGTTTCTATGATGTGAAATAATGAAATAGTGCCACAGGAACGTGATTAAAACAAAAAGCATCCATCGATATATTTACCATGTACTGACTATTTCTAAACCGTTACCAAAAAACAACACGCACGCTTGTGCTGAATGATGAATAACCAATGGCGTAGAACTGATCAGCTTTTTATTTGACATTGATTTCAATATTCTATTCTTCCTAACAACATTCACACACTACTTTTGTATTATGTTTTAGATTCGACGCAACAACTGTTAAGAACCTACTAAAAAGGGTATTGGTAAAAACACTGATATTTTTATTATTTCAAACAAAGGAGGAACCAACTGAATATGCCAAACGCTCTTAATGAGACAGAGAAAGAAGAAATAAAACAGAAGACAGTATAAAGGAACCAAATATCAAGTGTCTAGCTAAGAACTGCCCCTTTTTTGTCGCATAGATCTTGTTAAAGTACGTATCCTGTTCGCTTTATAATAGAAAGCCATGGCCAACTACGACTCTTTTTTGCAAAAATTAGAAAATTAATTTTTTGGTGTAATAATTCTAACCGATTATTATTCCAGATTTGTACGTTGCTATCAAAAAAAAAAAATATGTTTAAACCACTGTAACAAGTCGAATAAGATCCAAAATTACATTTAAAGAATGGGTTTCCTTTTTAATACTAATGCATATTCTTAGTTATATGAAACACACTATACTATCGGTAGTACAGAAATTAGAATATTTGCGTTTCAAGCCAGTCTGAGTAAGTATTGACTAATCTGTTGAAATTTTGGCAATACAAAATCTTTAATAACACACTAGTAATCTTTAATTTAAAACAATTTGGACATATATTTTTTTAGTGGTTTTAATGGCAAATTAAGACGATACTTATATTAAATAATAAAATTACACCAAAGTTTACTCACGCACGCTGCAACCATTGTAGCGAAGATAAGAAATGTCGTGCATACATTTATGAAGTCTTATGGCGGTTTTCCACTAAACGGACAGTTGAGGTTATGTTTTGTTTGTGTTTTCTAGAACAAAACAAAAACAAAACTGAAACAAACCCAAAAATCTTGTTTCCATCAAGCGGGTTACATTTTGTTCGAGTTTTGTTTTTGTTTTCAGTCCTTTTCCACTGGATGTCGCGAGGAAGTCAGAACACATTTTTCCAATAACCAGCCAACATGTTTAGAGAAGATTTTTTTATTTTTAGTTATGGCTGGTTTATACTGGAGTCCTTGGAAGAAAAGTGTGTCTACAGAGTGTCCCACCTCGAACTCCATCGATGGATATCTGGGAAACCGCTCTAAGGATTTTTTTGTAATTGTGATGGTGTGATACGCACCGTGGGGTCCACCAAGTTAAAATATTTTCAAGGTCATCGTACTTCCGGTTACACCGGAAGTCGATACTAACTTTCTTATTTTAAAAGGAACCCCCTGTATATTATTGCATTTTTGGAAACATCATCCATTTTTAAGTTGAAAACATATAGTACACTCCATACTTTGGATTGACCGTTTCCGAGATAATTCGATTTTTAAACAAAAATTAACAGATGCAGACTATTAGCAAAATTTAGTTTTCCCGGTTTATTTTTTTGTGTAAATTGGACATTTTGTAGAGAAAGACCTACTTTATCGAATTTGACACGAAATTTTCCAGTTTTTATACAGGGTGGTCAAAACAAATTTATCGAATATGAAGTTCAGAATATGTGGCAAACTCGAAATTTTTAAATGGAAACCCTTCATTTTTTTGCAATAATATACAGGGGGTTCCACTTAAAATAAGAAAGTTAGTATCAACTTCCGGTATAACCGGAAATACGATGACTGAAAATATTTTAGCTTGGTAGGCTCCACAGTCCGTATCACGCCGTCACAATTTCAAAAAAATCCTTCGAGCGGTTTCCCAGATATCCATCAATGGAGTTCGTGGTATATGTACGGTTAAAGTGTTTACTTGGTTAGTTTGTATCCTAGCCAAGTAAACACTTTAACCGTACACATATATATTTTTAATAGGTAATTCATTAATGATTAAAATATTGTTTTTGGGAAGAAGAAAACGCCAACATAGATATTGGGTTGGATCACTTAAACAGAAAACACAACACGACCGTTTCCACTAAACAGACTTGAGTTTTAAAACACGTCGAAACCTTTTGATGTGACAGCTTTCGAGCGGGACACGAAAAACAAAACTCCAACTGTCGCAAAACACGCCAGTCTTCAAAAAGTTTACGAAAATTTACAGTTCTGTTTTATTCGACACAAGTTTGTGTGTTGTTTTTGTTTTCTCCGTTTAGTGGAAAACCGCCTTTAGGTAGCAATTAACAAAATTTTACATTCCTGTGACTTTGATGTGGTTCAATTTTAACTTTATCTTGACAAGTTCTAGTGAAAATATAAAATTCGTTCACTCTGCTACATTCTCAAATAAACATAAAATAGGATATCTAACAAAAATGTTTAGATAGAAGATAGGTGCCTATTTTTGCTTTACTTTAAAAGACTAACTCAATCTATAAAAATTTCCGTAACATTCTCATCTTGCGGAGTTATATTAAGCTGCTTAACATCAACATCTAGGTATACAAAAAGACACTCAAAGACAGGCGATTATTTAATAACTAATGTTGTAGGAAGCAACTACTCTGCTGGCTAAAACCCCGATCAGAATTGAATTACACCCGAAATAGCAACATATTACTCGTATTAGATAATAATTATTATTTAAAAGAAAGTAAAAATAATTATTAATGAAAAAAGCGCACATACCTGACATTTAAAATCTAACGTACTAAAAAAAAATAAATAAATAACCAATTGCATTAAATGAAATTTAAAAAACCCAGAAAAGCGATTATCTCTTAAATTTAATTGGTTGAAAAAATGTTAAATATGTTCGTGTCCTACTAAAAAGGAATAAAATTACCCTTTTTAAAGGTGCTATCAAAAAAGTAATATAAAATACTTTTCCAAATTTATATTATAATATTTCATCATCAATTTTGCTATTTCTGCACTCCAATCATAGAAGACTTTAATGTAAATGTCAAAGTACAGTGAATTATTAAAAAAAAAAATGTAAATTGCCCTGTTTTATAAGCTGTTACCAAGAAATTATGAGAAAAATATTAAAAAGTAAGTAAAACCACTTTTTAGAATTTATAATAACATATTTAATCATCAAAAACTGTCAAAAGCACCTGCCTACAAGCCGCTGCAAAGAAATTATGAAAAAATAAATACAGGGCGATTATTAAGTACTTGTACAAAGTTTAAAGGATGAATCTTTGACTAATTTTAAGATATAAAGTTCATACAAACATGGGTCTGCAAAATTTTTTTTTCATCAATTTTTGTAAATGCTATTAACTTATTTGTAGAAGTAGTTTAGTCTTAGTCTTGTAAATGATCTAAGTTTGTCACGTCGCAATACAATCAATGAAAACATATTTCAAAAACTCTTAATGATTCAACTTACAAAATTCCAACGCGTACAACATTAAACAAAAAACTATTTGAGTTTCTCATCATCATTATTCCCAGTTTCCCGAATTTCGTCAAATTGCCATGTCATTGAACAAAAATATAATCAAAATACCAAACAAAAAAAATTTTTTTGACACTGAATCTCAAGGACCAAGCCGTTGCAGACTTTTTATCTTAAAATTAGTCAAAGATTCACTTTTTAAAGTTTGTACAAGTACTAAATAAACACTCTGTATATGTAGGAAAAGTGTTTTCAAAATTTGTATTACAACAAAACTCCAATGGTTTTAAAGTATAAATGTCAAACTTATGAGGACGATAAGAAAATTTCAAAAACTCCCTTTGTAAAAGCTGCTACCAATAAATGATCAAAAAATATTTATAGGTAGAGAAAACATTTCTCCAAATTCGTAATACAATACTTCATCATCAATTTTTTTGTCTCTAAAGTCCAGTGGTAGAGGGCGTTAAGATAAAAATGTCAAAATTGGGAGAATGACAAAAAATTTGGAAAAATTACCAAAGTTTGTTACAAAAATGTGAGACAATACTATGTTTAGAATTTGATTGGCACATAATTCTACACAGCCGCTAGAAATAAAATGAAAATAGTTGAAGATTGAAAGCATTTTTTATCTTTGTTTTTTGTAGAAGCTTGGAAGTAGGCATATAAAATCGACGGAATAATTCATTGTGGAATTACAGAATCGTTACTAAAGAATAAGGAGCTGTCCGTGCGACGTTAGCCAACAAATATCTTCGATTATTTCTCAAAACTGATTGAATAGCTGAACGAGGCTCAACTTGAGAAACGGAGCCGGATTTGATACGATTTAGGAACGAAGTGGAAAATATCGAACAAAGAGGCGAGAATTCCTATTAAGAAACGTCCAGTCCGATTAGTTTTATTTTTATAACACAATTTTATAAAACGTAACGCAACTTTTGTTTAGAAACAACTAGTGCATAAAAAATCTAAATCTTGTAACAGATTTTTTGCCGAACGTATCTTCGGATGACTTCATCCTACCCAATTGGGAAAGAGCGTGAGAACGAGGCGCTTTTTCTCACTTCGCTTGAGAAATGATTTTCTCATAGCAGTTTCGAAAGTACCGGTCATTGGTGAATGGCTTTCGGCCGTAAATGCGTATCAAGAAATGTTCCAAATACGATTTAATTCATCAGAAATACTATATGAAGCGTCTTTCGTGAAGGCGGCCATTTCTCAGTTGATAAATCTGCGTGGCTATGAAAAAGACAAGTGAAGAAACAATTGCTTATTGTGATGGTAAACAACGACGGTAGCCAAATGGATATTTATCGTGACGGGTGAAACAATGCACAAATAGCGCTTTAAGTAAACTGCAAAGCCATGAGCTAATAATAGTTATTTTCAAATTAAATTAGAAAATAGAAGGAAAAAGATTGGGAAGAATAGTTAGGAGGTCTTCCACCGAAAAAGGATATCTATAAGTTTCAAGCAGCTAATAATAAAATAAAATTCTTTATTTGTAGAAAATAGAAGGCAGAATTGAATATTTTTTTACTACAGCCAAAGTAGCAGTTAATTTTACTAAAAAGTAGGAAATATTCCTTTATTTTGTTAGAAAATGTGTCCTGATTAGAATAAATTAATATCTAGGTAGGTATTCCCGATGTACTACTGTGTCCAAAAAATAAGATGAATTACTTATTCGCGGGTATTATGAAAGCATACAATTATTTTTTTTTAGGTTGGTAGTACTGTCCTTGATACATATGCGGAGTCTCAAGTCAATATGTTCAATTGCTGCAGAGCTACTCGTGTTTTTGTAAACATGAAAGTGAGTTTATCGATTTTCACTATGTCTGATGTTGTCGAGCAAAGGATTTGCATTAAATTTTGTTTGCGGAAGGAATATTCTGCCCCGGAAACGTTGAGGATGTTACAGAAAGCTTTTAATGATGAGGTTATGTCGCAAAAAAATGTTTACAAGTGGCATAAAGACTTTAAAGATGGCAGAGAAGGCGTTAAGGACGAACAGCGTTTCGGACGACCATCAACGTCAACTGATGAACAGCACGTTAATAAAATTAAATATCTTGTGCTCGAAAACCGTCGATTAACAATAAGAGATCTTGTTGATACTGTCGGCATTTCAAAAGGTTCTGTAACCATACCAATTTAAAAGAATTGTTGTGCCTTAGATACGTCAAATCTCGTTTGGTTCCAAAAACGCTCAACTTTTTGGAAAAAACAACGTCGCGTTGACATCTGTGAAACAATGATTTCTGACTACCAAGACATCATGAAACGCATCATTACTGTCGAGTCGAGTTAATATCGTGCAAAAGGTGAACCAAGACCGAAAAAATCACGCCAGTCACTCAAAAATCAAGGTCATGTTGACAGTTTTCTTTGATTATCGTGATATAATGCACTATGAATTTCTTCCAACCGATCAAACTGTTAACAAGGAATTATCATTAAGGATCGTTTGCGTCGCTGCAAAAGGCCGGAATTATGGACAGACAACTCTTGGTTTTTGCATCATGGAGTGCATCGACTGATACAGCATTGACAATTCGAGACCATTTCGCCAAAAATTGAACTCATATCGTTCCGCAACCACCGCATTCGCTTGATTTAGCATCGAATGACTTCTGGCTATTACTTAAACTCAAAAGACCACTGTAGACACCGTTTCGACGAAATAAAAGCCGAATCGACGAAAGAACTTTTCGAGAGTTTGAAAAAACGTTGGCATAAGTGCAGGGATTACTTTCAAGGCGACAAAATTGATTTGAAAGCATCAATAAAGATTTTTTACTTTTTAAACAAATTCACCTTATTTTTGGACAACGGGTTAGGTGTTAAACCATTATTTTTTATTTATGTGACAAATTCTAAATAGCAAAAGTGACACTTTCAGTAAATATGCACCCTGCTTCCAACTAATATCACAGGGAATTGAAAAAATATGCAATGCAATAAATAATACTATGGTAAAAACTGCAACAGATATTTGGCTAATTCATTGAAGACCCTGCTGCAAAAGGAGCATAATTTTGAAAGAATATTGTATCTACAGATATAGGTTTATAAAGGTGTTGTTTTTGTCTGGTGCAAGCTGTAAGATAAAAACACTACTATAGTACTATAAACTGGTGTAATGTTGGGGTAATTTTTGATGTCGCATATTCCATTCTTGCACCATATATTTGTTTGTTTTTTGCACTTGGTGTTTGTTCTGCCCATTTGTTTGTCTTAAATATTACTATATTTATTCATTTTTGTGTAAACAATAACGCTTCGAATGCTACTTATCCCCTTCTTCCATCTGGTGCAAATTTTAAAGTTAGAAATAAATAATAATGCATTCACACAGCATTTTTCTCTCATAAATGATTTTTTGGAAATATATTTATTATTTATATGTTGTTGTTGTTCTTATACAATTATTTTCGATGATGTGTAAGATTAAAATTGTGGTATTTCATTTTTTTTAATATGCTGTTAGTGGGGCTGATACATTCAAAAACTTCGTTTTCGAACAAGAATGGCCCTGCCAAAGAGAGCTATTTCCTGTTCCAATTCCTAAAAATCGCGTCACCTGGGCCTTTTCTAAGCAATTAAAATGGTCTAATCAAACCCCATCCCCCCCCCTCTTCTTCACCGCACGAGATCTACCTAAAAACTGCTCATTTATTAAGACAACAGCAGCTGCGGAATCCGTTCAATGTCAAGCCGTCAGATCATTTCCAAGAACGGTCCGATTCCGTAAACGAAGCTCTAAAAAAAAATCGCAAAGAATTCGAACCTTTCCGGAGCGTGGATCCAGCGTGGTTGGGCCGACTTTCACATGTTGTTGTTGCGGCGATGAATCACACACATAACCAGAATCGCGCGGTGGTATTTACGCAGGTGCCCGAATCGCGCTCCCGGCGCCCCAGAACTCCCCGAATCCCGGTTACCCGCGACGCGCGGGGCAAAAGACAATCACCTGGTACGAAGAGGCGACGCGTTCGGACCTATCCACGGCCATGCGCGATTTTTTGCGCGCACGTTTCGCAGCACTGTGCGGGCGAGGTGTTAACTTTACCGACGGGAAACGCAGACTAGCCCGCGAAGTGCACAGTTACTCGCGGCAGGCGCGGGTTTCCTTCCCATTCACGGCGCGAGAGAGACGGGTAGAGAACGCACGCGCGCCGAGTAGGCTGTTGCCCGTCGCCCAATGCACAAGGTGGACTATTGTTTTTGCGGCGTAGGCGAAGAGTCGCGAAGGATTTTGGACTCAAAGCCGCCTTAGCTTTACGGAGGTGAGACTGGCGGAAGGGGGCGGGGTTTGGGCGGGCGCTCGCAGCCGCGGATTGATATGATACAGTGTTTATTAGGATTTATGTGTACCGCTGCGTGTTTGTTGGGGTGATAGTGTGGCGCTCATTTTTGCTTTCGGACGGTGTGTGGGGCGTTATCGGAATGGGTTGTAATCTGGGGACCGTATCCGTTGGGAATTTCACGTCGATGCCATGCTAATTGCCTCCTGAAAGACTCGTTAGATTGTGGAGAAAACCGTTCCGAATTGATACTTCGTTTCCTTTGAAGAAACGTCACTAGCTAAGAGACTAGAAAACTAAACTGAGTCTTTTTGTTTGCACTTTGCTAAAAGACTCATTACTTAGAAAACCAGCAACCTCAATGCATCATTTCCTCTGAAAAATTGTTCATTAACTTGCTAAAAGACTCATTAAGTTATCTAACATCACTTGTTTTTAAGAAATTTTTGTTTATAAAGATTCATTAAATTAACTAAAACGACGTCCTGGCAATCATTTTGTGCTTGCTAAAAGATTCATTACATTATCTAGAAAAACAACAAGAACTAATCCATTATTGGCTTTAAAGAATTCTTCTTTGCTTGTTAAAAGATTCATTAAGTCATCTGGAAGATCGCCCAGACAGGCTTCATCGATCATTTCCTTTGAAACTAAAATACTCATTAAGCTGGAAGAACAAATAGATATAATCCATCACTTTGTTTAACTATCTTGGCATGTTAAAGAACTCATTACACTATCTATAAAACCAATCAGAGGTAGTCTATAATATGTCGTCTGGAAGATTAAAATTAAGTTAGCTAGAAAAACGTATTAATAAAACAAGTAGACTTATCGCATATCTTAATTCATCAATGTCTTTTAATTCTTCTCGATTGCTAAAAGACTCATTAAGGTATTTAAAAAATACATCCAAATTTCATTAATTTGAGCTAACTTTGCTTGATAAAAGTCTCACTAAATTATCCAGAAAAATAGCCAGCCTTAAACCCATCTCATCAATTTTTTTTAAGAAATATTTTTTTGCTAGACTCATTAAGTTAGTTAAAAAAATATGATAAGGCATAATCTATCATTCCATTCCTGCTAGAAGACTCATTACGTTATCTAGAGAGCCAACAAGAACCATACCATTATTTGTTTTAAAGGAACCTTTATTTGCTAAAAGACTCATTAACTTATCTGAAAATCACCTATATTTAAAACATCGTTTTCGTCAGACAGATCTTGTTGCTTCTTAAAAGACTCATCAAGTTGATAAAAAAGATAATCACACATAATCGAAGATATCTTTGCTTGCTAAAAGTCTCACTAAGTTATCTGGAAAATCACCAAGACAGGTTTATTCAATAATTTAATTCAAAAACAATTGCCATTGCTTGTAAACAGACTCATTAAAAAACAGCCTGACATAATCCATTTTGTTTGAACTATCCTTGCACTATTTTTGATAGCTAATGACTCATAAAATTATCTAAAACAATATTTAGCTCCTCATTTTCTTTAAAAAAAAATCTGCATTAACTTAAGAAAACAGACAGACGTAATAAATCGTTACTTCCCTAACTTACCAAAAGACTCATTAAACCATCAGTTTGTTTCAAAGATGCTAAACGATTTATTAGGTTATCTAGAACATCAACAAGAACTAATCCATCATTTGTTTTGAAGAAATCTTCTTTGCTTGCTAAAAGATTCATTAAGTTATGTGAAAGATCACCCAGATAGGCTTCATCGATCATTTCCTTTGAAAAGGTTGTCGTTGCTTGCTACGAGATTCATTAAGTTAGCTAGAAAAACAATTAGACGTAATCCATCATTTTGTTGAATTATCTTTGCCTGTTAAAAAATCCACTGCGTTATTTTTAAAGCCAGTCAGAGGTAGTCCATCCATAATTTTCCTACTAAATCATTAATTATGTTGTCTGGAAGATCATCCAGATAAACTCATTAAGATAGCTAGAAAACCAACCAGACATGATCCATCATACTTTTATTGTTGAAAGATTACATTATAAAAAAATCAACAATAAATAATTAATCCATTATTTGTTTTAAAGAATTATGTTTACTTCCAAAAAATTGTGAATAAGTTATCTGAAAAATCACCCAGACTTAAGGTGTCATGTTTTTTGAAAAAATATTCATTGTTTGCTAAAAGGCTCATTAAATTAGAACACGTACTCCATCATTTTCCTTTTAACTTTTCTTGCTTGCTGAAAGAGTCATTTAATAAGACTCATTAAGGAAGATATAGAAAGACAACCAGACGTAATTCATCAGTTTACTTGTTAAAAGATTTATTAAAATATCTATACTCGATGGCCAAAATTATAAATAGTGATTCATCGCTAGCTCTTGGACTAGTAAGGGGGATGAAGCGTGCCGGGAACGAAAATCCATTGGCGTGTCTGCGTAAAAGGCAACAAGATATAGAAAATATTGAAAAAACATAATAAAACATAACATCTAATATTTTTTACGGTTTGCTATAACCGGCACTTTGATCAATTTTAATTATTACAGCATTTTAAAACGTCCCAGTTGTGTTTTTTTAATTTATAAATTTATTATAGCCATGGAATTAGACCCCTCGTCTACGCTTATGCTATGACGTTTCTCAGGTCGGGCAAATCAAGTCCGTTTACACCCACTAAAAAAGCATTTCCCTATTCCCTACCAAGTGCAAAAGACAGAGATAAAATATAGATCGACGTTCAGTGTAACTCAGTCTATACACGATTATAGATTATACCGATGTGCATGGCGAGCGGCACAAAGATAAATAATATTGAACCGTATAGAAATCATTTTATATTTTATACGCATTATGGTAATAGTGTTTTTATATTATCTATTAGTCACTCTTTATAATTTCGGCCGCCGAGTATAGGAACCCAAAATGAGCTAATTCATAATTTTCTTTAAAGAAATCATTACTTGTTAAAAGTCTCATTAAGTTAACTAGAAAAACAACTAGTCATAATTATTATTTTGCATTTTCTTTGTTTGGCAAAAGGCTTATTAAGTTATAAAAGAAGCAAGCCAGACACCTAATTTTCTATAAAGCAATCTATTCAGCTTACTAAGGGACTCATTAAGTTGTCTAGAAAACCAATCAGAAATCCAGATTTGTTTGAACTTAGGTACTTTTGCTTGATGAAAGACTCATTAAGTTATCGAGAAAACCAGTCAGACTGATGACCACCAGAATTAATTATTATAATTAGTTTTTGTCTATTCTCATGGCATTTTTCAGATTTGCCCTATGTCTCTCTTTAAAGACAAAACATGTTCGCCAAAGTTTCCACAAATTCACGAAAAATTTACTGACTATTGACGTCATATTCTTAAAAGCCTTGAATATTTTTTTTGTTTATACCTTCTCAGTATTTCATTATTTCTCATCAGATTAATTCCTCTTACTTTTACCTATCCTGATTTTATGAAAATTTACAATAATCTGCTTTTTTCCATTCCTAGACTTGCTGAGGTAGTTCTAGGAAATTATTAATAATCATTAAATTTGCTTGTTAAAAACTGAAACCATGCAATATCAATTATAGTTATCTTTGATGTAAGATCGGGACTGAAATTATTTTACTAAAATTGGATACATTTGCGAGTTGCTTAACTAAAGAAAGTTGGCCCGAAGCATTCGTATAAGTAGTTTTTTTATGTCTCTATGCGATGATTCACATTAAATTGTGACTGCACTAGGACTTCTCGGCTTCACAGAGATTCCTTCTGTTGAACATTAATCACAAAGTGAAGTCATTCTTTCTTTGATTATTAGTTTCTATTTCTGCGACAGAGTAAAATGAAAACGACTTTTTAAAGAATATATTAAGTGTTTTTTTGATACCATTAAAAATTTAAAATTGGATGTTAATAACAGTCATCAATGAACTTGCTGTTTGTTTTATAATTTTGTACAACTAATCAAATTTGCAGGGCTTTCTTTTTTTTAGAATCATTCTAGAAAGATAAGAAGATTTTGTGTATACAGTTAAGACCTTTTAGAAATCAACAACATCACTTTTGTTCTTAAAAATAGATATAGCAAATCTATAGCAATATTACTTATCTTTGTTTCTAAAAACTTATCGAGTTGATTCATATTTGAAAGGAACCATATTTTAATGGACTTAATTACGACATTTCATCATGTTCCTTGTGGATATTCCGATGCAGCGTCTGAATAAACGAAATAAACAAGTATCTCCAAATAATGCCACCGCAAAAAAACTCTCCACTTCTGTGTTGAAGGTGTTCGTGTCGTTTCTCATTCACAGTTTTGCTTTCTGGTCGCCTTCCCACACCATGGCCAAATCGATTAACCGCACCAAATCGAAGCGTATAACAATGTCGGATTGTTTTTTTAACGCCATTTGCCGATGTGTTGGCAACGGAATTGTGGGTGGGTATTCGATTTGAATAGTGGAAATTGCGTCGCCGAACTACATTGCACCTAATCTCTCTTTTAAGGCAGGACTATGAGAGAGCAGAATCTCTCCTTCAACTCAGATTTTTTCTACACACCACATTAGGCACTCCATAACTTCAAGTTTATCAAAAAACGAAACCCTGCAATGAAAAAATCGAACAAATGTTTTTCGTAAATAGAATATATTTTACCAACTAATTTTGAAGAAACATTTTTAGGACTGCTAACTTCATCGATTGCTCAGCGATATTTGTTTACTAAATAACTGTTTACACAAATCGCTCTATATGTCCAATATTTTTTGTTAGTGTATTGCTGGGCCATTTTAGTGTTATTCACACTTATTAACACAGACAATCCAGAAAAACAAATGACTTTTATGTAATTTTATTCAAACAAAATGTGACACAATCGTTGCCTTCCTATAACTGTACTCTTTACATTAAGAATATATGTAAATATTTGCATAATACTTAGTGTGAAACAAAAAGGGACAGTGTCCATTTTTCTAAGTATACGACGGTTCAACTAGTTTCATGCAAGGGACAATTTCAGAGGTTCCCAATAAGTTTTTATTTTACAATTTTGATTATTATTAATTTTAAATAACGTTTTGTGGTTTCAACCTTTCTGATTATTTTTATTATATATTCTACACACCGTTAAAAAATCATCTTAAAGCTTATAAACTCATAATAAAAAAAATAAATGTAACCCATGGAAATTTCCAAGGAAATATTCTAAAAAAAAAATCTGAAAGCCTACAAAATTTTTATTAAAACAAACAGAGGTACATATTTGGACACGCTGATAATGGCCTACTATATAAAAAAATATAGCAATTACATTAATAAGGTGATACTACATTAAATCTAATACCCTGTATATTAGCAACTGGCCAGTTTTTTTATCGTTCTGACAAAGATCATTTTTTTTTCTCCGTTTATTTGAGTATTTTACCACATGTGAAAAAAATTAAGGGTCTGACAATAAATAAATCTAAACGTTACTTTTTGAAAAAAAATATGTTTTCGTTTTCAGAACTGAGAGCGACGTTTCGTCTTTAATTAGTTTTGAGAGTTCATATTAGTCTAAAAACGGTTTTTTTTGTCTTAAATACTTAATAATTCTTAGTTTTCAAAATTGTACTTATTAAAGAAGTACCCTGTATGCTATATCGAAATTTTGATACTGGTAAACAAGCACACGTATGTACAATACAATTAAGATTATTTTTTTCACAAACAAATGCCCAATTAGATTCTCAATGTTTTCTACAATGAATTTTCGAGTTGTTTTTTGTTACATAGGCCGTGGTATAAGTAGCCCACGAAATTTGAATGTAATAAAATTCGACTACTCTTGCTGAAAGAAAAATTGCATCTACCTACGCTTTCTAGATTACGATAGTGGTGCTACTCAATGTAGAACACACAGTTTCAAATTTTTAAGAAACCCAGATTTTAGAAGTGAATTTAAGAAGGTGAAGTAAATTTACGTAAACAAACTTCATGACTGAAAAAAATTCAAAGCTACTTCAATATTTACTATCAGGTGATTCTGCATAGGCGAAACAAGTTAAAATTTGAAAACAACCCTTTTTGTCATGAAAGGTAAATGACTTGTACAAACTTGTACAGACAAATCTGTACTTTTCAATATGCAACTATCTTTCACGCTAACAAATAGGACTGAAATTGCATAGAGATCATCTCAAATCAACCCATCTGACGATTAAAAAACCATCAGTGGCCTGCAGCGGGACACTTCGTCCTGCGGTCGCGCCCGCAACCAGCTATTGCCCATCCCGATCCTGGTTGGTGCGCTAAAGGCGGCCACACACGCACAGCGAAATCATCGAGTTTGCCCGCGCAAAAAGTACAACAAAGGACGAAATTTATGGTGTAAAATACTATTTGCTCGTTTATTTGGTATTAAAAGAGATGGAAATAAGCATTATAATAATATTACTTATAGATCTAAGGAATAAGAACAACGAAAAATATTTTTAATGTATACTAAATCTAAACATAAAATAAAATTAGTAGTATAAAGCAAGCACAATTAAATTTTTTGTTACAGCTAGATACAGAAACTAAAAAATGTTCAAGTTAAACGAGATATCCAATTGTATATATTATTTAAATAACATAGACCCACAAAAATAAACCGGACAATACTTTTCCGAAGGCACTGAACCCGAATCCTACCACAGAATTGCTATATCACATCAGGAATAGAAAACAGCCTAACCTAAAAGTGCGAAAAACACGGATTTCCCTAAATTTGGGGTTAGTTTACATCGCTAGGCAATTTTCCCCATAAAATTAGTTCTGGCATCTGAACGTACTGGTCTTCGCATTTAACATCCGAAAGAGAGAGCAGCATCAAATTACAAACACCTAAATCTCAGTGGTCCATTAGGTTTTCAAGGTCGCTGCTTACGAACGTGAAGTCATAATTATAAAATTCAAAATTCGTAGAAAATGAAACTTCGAAATGAAACTGGTATTTCACCATAAATTGTCTGTCGCTATTCACTATAAGAAGTGAATTCGTTAATCAGTGCATTTGTAAAGTATTTTACTTTCATAAGGAGTGTGTTAAAGGTTAATCTGAGGAAATACTTTTTGGATGTCTGTATAATTAATCTTTATTATCGAAAACCTAAAAAAACGTACTGCGAAGAAACAAGTAAATTAGATAATGTCGACTTGAAGAGATAAACGAAAAACAGTGTACACTGTACATATATGTTCAACATTATCTACATTTAGGAAAAATTACCAATTAGCGTTATAACTAAAATCGTATGCACAGGGAAATTTGCGTTTTTAAGATTACAGCCAACATTGGAATTGTTCATAGGAAATTCTTTATGTGGTTAAGAAAGATTAAAAGATATGTTGAAGTTAATCAGAATTTAACGAGAAAATATACAAATTATAGAGGGTGTCTGTAATTATTATTTGTCATGTCAAAAAAACATAATAGTGCTATTTTTTTGTTCATTTTGTTTCAAAATAATTGAGAAATCTCTGAACGCCCTATATTTTTGAAACCAACAACATTTGCACAAGGCATATTTGGCTCAATCGACTTATTTTGACCACCAGTCCAGCTTCGAGATTTCCCAATATTTCGCAGACACCTTGTATACAGACTTCAAAATATAAAAATAACATTTGGCCACTGTAGCTTGTCGGGAATATCAATACAATGAACACTTTTCTCAAGCATAGTCAAACTCACTTTCCTGAACGATGCAATTAAAAAAATGTATCAAGGAAACGTATTTTCAGCCATTATCTTTGTTTTATATTATTTTCTAATTAGGTACAATAATTCATGCCACATTTCCTCAGCTTTATCGCACATAAATATGTTTATCGGTGTGATTGTGGTTATCTTTCCTTCCAGATAGAATCCACAAAGACGCATGGGAACTGCCTTACCGAAAAGTTAACTCGCTTCTTTATCGCAACAACAATATCTCGAACGTTATCGGCAACAATTTCAAATTACTTAGTGGTATGTGAAAAATTATGGAGGCCAACGATATGACTACACTGGAAGAAAAGTTTAGTCCATAACATTTAAATGTAATAGGTTTCTGCTATAACAGGTTATTTATTCTTGCATACCGTTTCAAACTAAACAAAAATACTAATTTTAGTTTATAGTGCAATGATTAGATACGTCCCAATCATTTTTTATAACTTAACTTTTTGTAATGAAGGAAATATACTGTGATTTATAAAAAAAAGGTCTAATTTTTCTTAATGTGTCCTAATTATTTCTATTAACAAACAGTATCGGTTTTTAAATGAACTGCTTATGAATACATATATATTTTTCTTATTATAACTTTGTAGGTTACAATTTTCCAATTTTTGTAAAACGAAAGACGAAATATTAAAACAACTCCATGCTCTAAAGATATTTCATTTCAACAAAGATATACAGAGTGTGTTAAATATGTCTACAAAGCATGTATGGGAATGCCCATAATATCAACGCTAATAGGGATCTTTCCAATATCCACCCATTCATAAACAACGTTCAGATAGACACCTGGTGTTACCAATGGAGTATCTAGGTCTGTCGCGACTACCCAAGTGTATCCAGGGATATTTTGCTTCATGTGGTGGGCGACGTACGTGGGGACTTCATCTGGCTGGAGAAGAACCCCTTTCGCAACACCCTTTAGAGCTGATTCAAGCAGCGGCAAACTTGCGTTTTCTGGTATCACCGATTCTATGGTAGCCTGTGAAAGAAATGGGTCAGCTAAAATTTTTTGAGGTCTCGAAATCATACCAGAAGTTCGGGTACTATCACGGAAGACTGAATGTTGAGGGTTCCATCGACATTCCAGTGTAGAACTCCCACTGGGAGGCGCGACTGCTGCTGCAAAGTCTTGATGAGGTTTTGGATTGGAGTTTGACTGGTTACAGTTATGTTTTGCTGCCAGTACATCAGATCGGATCCAAGCAAATTTATCATCTGCAAAACATTTGTTGGTGATGGTAATTGCAAAGCAAAGATCATAACGTTTAACGTTTCGATCAAATACTTACGATGCTATTTGGATCCATTTTCAAAGAAAGTTGAACATTTTCGTGCCTATCCAGTTGTTGTATGGAACCACTGACCAAAATACCTGTAGCTGAGGATATGGTGTCCATTACATCCAACACTACGGGTAGTTCGTCAATCATGTCTTCGTCCGACAATTTCAAGATGTCCCCAGAATTTGTCTGAAGTGTCTGAAAGCATGGAATATTTCTTTAACATAATCACATCNGGTACTATCACGGAAGACTGAATGTTGAGGGTTCCATCGACATTCCAGTGTAGAACTCCCACTGGGAGGCGCGACTGCTGCTGCAAAGTCTTGATAAGGTTTTGGATTGGAGTTTGACTGGTTACAGTTATGTTTTGCTGCCAGTACATCAGATCGGATCCAAGCAAATTTATCATCTGCAAAACATTTGTTGGTGATGGTAATTGCAAAGCAAAGATCATAACGTTTAACGTTTCGATCAAATACTTACGATGCTATTTGGATCCATTTTCAAAGAAAGTTGAACATTTTCGTGCCTATCCAGTTGTTGTATGGAACCACTGACCAAAATACCTGTAGCTGAGGATATGGTGTCCATTACATCCAACACTACGGGTAGTTCGTCGATCATGTCTTCGTCCGACAATTCCAAGATGTCCCAAGAATGTGTCTGAAGTGTCTGAAAGCATGGAATATTTCTTTAACATAATCACATCTAACATTTATTGTGTATTTTCAGACTATGTGAAGCAATATGCCAACGAAAACAGTTAAAGTTTGAAACAGATGCATCTGGCACAAGTAAAATGAACTGCCAGAAAAAGAAAAGGTACTTACGTGGTTCAAAAGCGTCAATTCTATGGTCCTTATCTCCTTAAGCGTACCATCACTGTTCCAAATTTTCTGCCAGCCTATTAGAGTGACGTTACCAACTTCCATGAGAGTGTCCAGAAGGTATTCGATTGTCTGGATCTTTTGCTGGGGCCATTTCAATTGATTCTGAAATAAATAGAAGAAAAAATCAAAGTATTTACAGTTTAATTTTGTGATACATTTTTTAAACTAAAATTAATTAATTCGAATATGTTCATGTTAAAACTGTGTGCAACAGTTTACAGGAAATTAATTTTCAAAAAAAAAATATATAATTTCGGAAATTATTTTTGTTAACCAATAAATAATCTTATACGAACCATAATATTATATAGCCCATAAGACCAAAATATATATTTTTTTATTTCTTGTTCATGTGATTTGTTTTAAGATTTTTTGAAATATCTGTTTAAAAAATACTCACTTCGTCCAGTTCTGGCAAATTGATGAGGACATTATTGCCTAGACCGAACACAGCTAGGATCTGCAGTGACAGGACCAAAAAAAACTTGACAGGTAACATTGCTGCTTCGTCTGTTAAAGAGCTAATGTGAAACAATCATAACCGTAACGTTTTTATATAATTCCACAGCATTATCTTTAACCTATTTGACCAAAACGTTGACATTCTGATATTTTTATGCGAAGTAATTATGATTAATTGTTATAAACTTTTGTATAAGTTCACAAACGGTGATATGCAGTATCTACACTAAGAAAACAGTACACGTATTCATAATTGTATATCCCTGAAAGTTACATTTAATGAAGGAATTTCAGTGGGAATGATTCTCGTATACAATTGACCATAACTTTTGAAATACCCCGTATAACATAATTAAACCCTATATTGGAAGCATGGGAGAGATGAGCTTAATCTAACTTTGAAATAATATATAAGGTGTACCATTTAAAAAATAGTATGTTTGGTTCACCCTGGTAATACGTAACATTCTGTATATACGAAAATAATTTTAAAATGTGCAGTTTTAAGTTGGCACAATTTTTGTAAATAACTTTTTTTATATCTTCTATAATAACGGAGATATCGTACTTCGACGCACTAATGCCGCGCCCTGTATGTAAATAAAAAATATATACAGGGTGTTTCAAAAAACATGGGCCAACGCTTGGGAGCAGATTAAAACCTAACCTAAAAGCAAGATTATTTTTTCATATCAACATGGCGCGATTTCGCTTCGTTCCGTAGCTACAGGGTGTCGACATTTTAAAACAAAAACAAAAAGTTAGTTTTTTAAATTTTACTCGGAAATCAGGCAGGTTTTCGAAAAACATAAAACAGAAGTAATTTGTACAAAATTGAATGACGAATCCGAAAATATCATGATTGTTACCGTAAAACAGTGGCGTACTATTTTATTTAGAAAATTATGCCACTGATACCCTGTATCTCCGCCACTGGAGCATCTAAATTTTAGAAAAAGGTCTCGGATTTTGGACAATGTTTACATAAATACATGTGCCCAATTTCAAATTATTTCACTTACTAGTTTTTAAATTATTGAAAAAAATTAAAAATATCCTGTATATTTTTTACAAAGCGTCCTAGATAAAAATTTTATACGAAGGACCTCTTTAAAATTCACCAAAGAATACGAGGTTTCATTTTTGGTCACCGTTTGTGAATCACCCTGTATTTTAAATTGAAAAATTTAAGTTCTCTTTTTTTAACAAAGCATAATAACAAAAGTGTGCGACAGGGTTTTTGAATACAAAACCCTGTAACACAGCTTTATTTATATACTATCCGTAACTTTTATTATTTTTTTAATTTTGTATTTTTGCTACACTGAAAGAAAGAACAATTTGATTTCGTTAGATTTCACCGTTATATAAATTCGATATAGGTACACTTTTGCACATTACTTTAAAATTTGAAAACTAAACCTATTCTCCTAAAAACTCATAAGAACAATTGTCTTCTGAAAAACTATGCTATTTTCTTTTGAAAGCAGCTGCCTGACAACCTTCCTAGTAGCTAAAAAAGACACACTGGTTGACTTTTTCATTGTTAAGGTTTATAGCAGCCTTTTGACGAGGATTTTAAAAAATCTGAGCAGTTTACAATACAATACAGTTGACAATATATTCAGAATAAGGGGAAAACAGCATATTTTTACTTCTTATATTTATCATTGTATTTCCTGAACTTTACAAGCCTGGCGAATATACTGAAAATCGCGTACAGTATTACAAACACAATCACACTCCGTAGAATGCTTTTAAAAAACTATTAACACATCATACTATTAACAATCATAATTATTGGGTATTTTTACAAAATTCTCGACAAAACAGGAAAGGTACATTCCGATATTTACGTGGGTGCCCATGTTTTATGTGATCTTTCACTGCAAAAAATTAGAGGAGTACTTGTATTTCAACATTTTTATAGTTTAGATCGATTTTCTTGTTCTATTCTTGTTGTCTTACTAAAAGTGCGATTCCTTGCCTATAAAACGCCAGCCATAAGAAATATTTTGGCAAATTTTTCCACCTGGATTTTTCTAATTTTAATGTAATTTTTTTTTAATTGTATATATAGGCAAATACAATTATCTCTCTGTGATATCTAAATTTTCTTAGAATTGCATGTTTGTTATTAGTGCAAAACTTATAAACAAATGACACGAATGATGCAACGCCGAAAAAAATAAAGTCATTTTGGCCATATCACCTATGCACAATTTTTAAAAATATACTTAGATATGACAAACGGGTTCAGATTACTCGCTATCCAGTTGCAAGCGGTTGAACAAAGCGAATAGGTAACTTTTAATTTTTTTGCATCATCTGCAGATCGTTCAAAACAATTTGCACGGGTCAGATGTCATTAAAGCATTCATTAAAAAGATTTGGTATAGAAAAACAAACAAAAGTGCAGTTTTGTCGCTATCTGAAGGTTAGGAGACAGATAATTGTATTTGAATGGAAAAACATATTTTTTTTATTATGTGTATAAAACGAATTAACGCACTGTATTAACAAAAATTAATAAAATTATTGCTAAAAGTTATAATTTCTTTTATATTGCTTCAATTTTTAACCAACAAACCTTTTCAAGATTAAATGTTTTATTTCATACCGCCAATAAAGGCATTCCAGCGGAAAGTTTATTCTTTCGAAACTGTCTAGAAAAATTAAGAAAATATGCTACACTTAGAAAGCAATTTAGTATGTTATGTATCAAGAGCGATCTTACAACGAAAATGGGAAATATATTTTTTTTCTACTCATATACATACAGTTTCATAACCTACAAAGTATATATTATTTTGAATCTACTGGCACAGAGCGACCTGTTAATCTGTAGATACTATGACAGCATAACTAGTATCCTAGGAGAAATAAACTTTCTACCTAATGACATTGGGGAAGACTTTTCTGCCAGCTACATTATCCTAGCTAAATATTAGAATTGAGGATATAATTCAATGCTGGACTTAGCATGTAGGCCGCAGAGTAGTTATTTCCCACAATATTATTAGTTAATAATATAATTGTATGTTTAATTTAATTCAAAATCAGTTGTTATATTACAAATCATTACTACATATTTGTTCTATAGTTGTTTCCAGAGCAACATTATCTTCCAAGAGCATTTTTCCTTGGTAGTGTAATTTAATGTTTTAATAAAGGAATAATACTGACATTTTCTCTTTCATCTCTAGAGAGAAACGATGTTAATTTCTTATAGTCGAAGTCGTGAGAAAACTCTTGCATTTACAGTAGAAAAACATTTTTATACAGGGTGGTCCGAATTTTATGCAGGAAACTTCGAGGGCAGATTCTCTTTAAACTAAAATGTGTTTGCCTTATAAACATTGGTCTGGAACAGCGCCGTTTTAGAGATACAGGGTGTTGAAGTTGTTAAAAAAATTGATTTTTTGTTTATATCTCTAGAATCTATTAACCGATCTCAATAAAATTTGGTACAGATAATCTATGATAGTAGACCTTGCATTCCCTAATATATGAGCTCTAAGGGTACAACCAGTGGTGTACAACTAGGCAGGGGTCATCTTTTTTATAAAAAAAACCTACTCCACTGCATTTTTTACAAATCATTGTTACGCATTTATGTTCTAATGCACAAAATACGTAAAAAAGGTACCTTGAATTTTTTTCCCTAAGATTCGCCGTTTTCATGTTATTCATACCAATACAATCCCCTTATGCAGACATTTTTTATCATATATTTAATGGAACATCCTCTGATAATTCAAATACATAGTTGATTTTCTAGAAAGTTTAGAAATGACTGGGAATTTAGACAGGGTGACAAAAAGAAAGGTCCACAAACTTTATTACGAACTATTCCGAGCCACACGTTCACAGAAAATTCGTGTTGAAAAGATCTTGTCCGGATTTTTTTAACAACTTCAACACCCTGTATCTCTAAAACGGGGCTGTCCCAGATCAATGTTTATAAGGCAAACACATACTGCTAAGTTTTCAGAATACAAAACACTGAAATGTATTTCTATAAAATTGAGTTCAAACAACAAATCAACCAAACATTTGAGGCTAAAGTTTTTTACATAAAATGTGCATAATATGTCATTTAACTATTATTATTATTAGCCATAAAAAATGTTAAGAATTAAAAAATAGAAAAGAGAAAGAAAGAGAAATATTAAAAACATGTTACACTCAGTTTTGCCTAATTTGTCTAACTCCTATAAGTGGCTATAATTTTTAAACCAAAGAAATTATATGCTGCTATAAAAGTAGCATCTACCAAAATTTGAGTGAGAGTGAGAATAGTAAAAGTTTCAACAAATTATGTTAATAGAAAACTATAACTGTATTTGTCCTCTTTTCATTAGAATTTATCTTGATAGTAAGATTTGCTTCATCGATTACATAAACATTGTCACTTTATTTGTGACGCATTCTTTAGTCCCATGTAATTATTATTAACGAAATTATGATTTCTTGACCTGCGACCTGAGTAATCGAAATGGCTAAGGTGCTGATTACAAACGAGTATTAAAAGAATAAAAGCAGTGACAGCAGACAGTCTGCATCCAGAGACACCGCTGTAGAAATGTCTTTCAAAAGCTTGCTGTTCGTTACTCTAGCCTGCCTTATCTATGTAAGTACGTGTAAATATAATAATAATTTATATAATATTGTAGCTACGTTATCACATACGCAACTTAAATATAAATATGACACTACCCTTTCGCTTAAAAGTACTGAAAAGAAATTTGGTAATATTGTTTTTCAGACTTTTTGAATTAGACCAAACGAATGTTGTAAATTTCCTACAGCGTCATCAATTTATTCATTTCTCGAAATTAGTCCAATATGGCATTATTTTTAACACCAGTATTTGGTGGTGCCCTCTTTTTTTATTTAGGGTCAATACTGCAAAAGCTTACACTGAAATCTAAAATTTTCGCGTGACGGTCCTGTACATACTGTATCTTTGTAATACTGTTTCCAATAACGTATTTTTCAGAAAAATGAGGCATCTGACATACAGAAGGTGCTACCACAAGCCCAGGTTATCCTCCAGAAGTTCTTAAACATCGTGGAAGCGAACCAGTTAAACGTGTCAATAGTGACATCTCAAGCCATAAACTGGAGCAACGGTCAGCTTCACCAGATGAGGGACAGCGCGTTGTTGTTACCCCCAAACCATGTAAGCCAGATATATCATTGGTTATAAAGGCAAGTCCAGTTTCTGGAGATATCCAAAATCGTTTCAGGTACATCTCACTCAGACCCAGCTAACCCAACAAGTAGGGAAACAGTGGTTGGCAGATCTGCAATCTTGGACCTCCCAGGGTCATGGTATTGTAACGTACAGGGTGATCAGAGTGGAGAATGGTGCAGTTAGCCAACAGCTGGTGGAGTCTAGCAATCTAGAACAGGTATGGATGGCATATAGATGGAGTTTTTCCTTTTATTCACTCTAATAACCATAGACATTCTGTGGAAAGAAACGATATATTTTGTTTCGCTAAGAAAAACCTTCACCCTTCTAAATTCTCCTACGTCTTTTTTCAGATCCCTGTAAGTCCGAGTTATGAAAGCATATTGGAACCAGAAGTAACTGGAGAAGATGGACTGGTAGAAGAATTCGAAGACTATGAAGTTATGTATAATTTCCGAATTCCTGGAGCTGGTGGCCACGATCAGATTACGAACGTGTTCGCTGTCAGTCTCAACGTAAGTTTTATTTACACGAGTTATTTATTCTATACATAAAAAAAGACCGTTTATAAATAAATTACATTCCAATGCTACTATTTCCAATTTTAAGAGAAAATATTTTGGCAAATGATAGATTAAAGACGCTAATGTTTTATTCGATGCACACATAGTAGTTTTCTTAGTGTAACTAAAAGAATAAAATATTTTATAATATAACGGACTATTTCTTTTTCTATTTCCAGATAACCATTATTGCCAATTCCGAGCATATGCCGCTGACGGAGATAAACAAAATAAAAGAAGTCCTTTCTAAAATTTGGATGATGTTCCACGAGGACGAGTTGCGAGCAAAATATTTGGCCCATGCTCTTGACACCCAAATCCCTCAGTCAGATACTACTTGGCAGGTCCTCGTCGGACCTGGAGATTTCTTCATTCCTTCAGGAAAATGGGTCCAACTAAGTATCGCTGATACCAATGTTGTGGTCTTCGCTGTAGCAGCGTAAATGCAGATATTTTTAAAATTATGTTATTTTGATTTATGAAATAGAGTATACGAGCTTGTACTTGTTTTGTTTTTAATAATAAGTATGCGTCATCGTTCAAATATTTTGTAAAAATTTTACCGAACACGAAAAATTATCATAATAATACATATGTAATAATGTTTTAATAATTGCATAATTCAGTTGAGTTTAGTACTTATCAACAATTTTTTTTCATATGTCGCAATTTGTATACACTATGTCTTCAGTTACCGTGGACACAAATTAAAACGTTTTTATTTTTCATAATAAATAATAATAAAAAATTTTGCTTGAAATGTAAGTTTGTATTGCGTTGTTCTAAGAAAAATGTGTAAAATAAATATTAGTATGAAAAACTCCTCAAAACTAAAAGTTGGTTTGTGGGTAACAGAAATAATTATCCTTAATTTCTCATTCCATCATATAGTACAGTCATTGCTGAAAATCAGCTGTAACCTCCGAATTCTTTGAAACTGCATGGATTTGCATGAAAATTTAAAATAAGGCTCATCTTAGGCTCAAGTTCAAAAGTGACATAAGCCCGATTGACGCTTTTTGTTTTTTAGGGGTAAAAACTACCCCTAAGTGAAAAAATTAAAAAATTATGTTTTAAGCATTTTATTGATAAAAATCTTGTTCAAGCACAAAGATTAAATAATGTTCCATGTTCTCGTACATGTTTTATGATATATTTGGTCTATTCGACCCTTTATTTAACCCTTAAAAACTACCCCTATACAAAAAATAATTATAAAACATTACTTTTTAAAGATTTGGAATGATTAAATCCTGCAATTATTTAAAATAAAAGTTACCTTATAGCTAATAAAAGAATTTTTTCCTTTCAACTCCTAAAAACCACCCCTATGTTAACAAAAAATGATAAAAAATTACTTTTTAAAAGCTAGGAATGCTTTAACGGTGCAATTATTTAAAATAAAAATTCCCTCATTGCTTATGAAATAATTTGTATCTCATAACACTTTTCAACCCTTATAAATCACTTCCGTGCTAAAAAAATTATAAAAAATTACGTTTTAAATCTTGGAATGCTATAATTGTGCAATAATTTTAAATAAAAATTCTCTTATATTGTTTATGAAAGAATATTTTACTTTTGCCATTTTCAACTCTTATAAACTACCATTTTACCAATATTAATGTAAAATATTTTTATTATAATCGATTTTTAAATATAATCAATCATAAAAAATTGCTACGCTGCATATACAGCTCGAGACAGGTCGTTTTTTCACTAAAATGGATAATTCAACCGGCGATATCTCCTTTATTTTTTATGCTATAGAAATAAAAAAAGCAATATACTTGTTGAAAAAATATCTACATTTATGTTGTCTATCATTTTTACGTAGGTATCTTTCATAGTTTCAGAGTTATTATATAAATAAGGCATTTTTTTAATAATGAAAATACGTTTTCAACTTTTACCGTACATTATTCAAAAAATACGCATTCTAAACCGGTCTAACTTCAGGATCGTATGAAAAACACTAAAACAAAACTAATTGTAAAGGGTCCCTTAAAAAATATGAGCAACCCATCTGTTTTTGACGATAACTCCTTCAATTTTGCTCTAATTAACTTTTATAAGTACTCATTTTGAAGGTCTTTTTGAGTACTACAAAAAACTCCTGAAGCGTTATAAACGTAAAATTAATCCTTTTTCCGTTATTTGAAGTTGAATACATCGATTCAAGTATTCCCCCCAAAACAAGTCCCCTTCCACTAACCATATTTCGCTTTGTATAAGACGTACAACACTTTTTAAAAAATGATTTTCTTTGTTTATTTATAAGCTACATTTTTATTCATTACACATTTTTAATAAAATGCATAGTTTGTGAGTTATTCACGAAAAATACTTTGAAAAAGTGTTTTTTTTTCACTCAAGATTCCAAGTTTTCAATCGTGAATAACTAAAAAATTATTGATTTTTCGAAAAAAATCTACGAATATTTTTTGCTCAAAATTTGATTCTCTATCGATTTCCAGCGTTATTTTTGAAAACAAAATTCCACCCCCGAGAAGGGGTGTCAACCTCCAACCGGGTGGAAGCGTCAATCGGCGCTATGTCACTAATGTTCATTGACCTTTGAACTATCTGCCAAATTTCAAGTCGATCGGTTCAGTTTCAAAGAATTCGGAGGTGAAAAGCTTCAGTGACTGTACTAATAACCCATAATTAAGACTTGTAGAGAATACTTTGCAGTTTTCAAAACCCTGCTTGGATTTTCTGTACGATCATTATTTCTCGAATAATTGATTGCCAAAGTCAAACATGATTTTTTTTTGCTTTGATCGACGATAACTCAGCGACAAATCATCGTATAAGGTTCCGGAACCGCTCAAATTGAAGAGAATTAAATTATCTAAAAGAACTTTATGATGAAATTACCAAAAAAAAAAAAAAATTTGAAGTCCATCGGCATTTTTAAAGAAAAACAAAGATTTGCAATTGACAAGCAATTTTTTTTCGCTGACTTTCTTATGATTACTCAAAAACTGCTGACGCTAAAAACTTTTCAACTCCAGATCCGAAAACTAGACACTTGAAGCTTCAATTTCCTTTTTTTTATTCTCTCTACGACCGTTTCCCTCCAAGTGAAAATCACTCAAAATTTTGGGAATTTTTTAATATCCCCTAATTTCTGTGCCTAGTGTAGTAATATTTTAACAAAATATTGTTTTTAACATTAGTAATGTCTATATTTTTGTAATGGAAAATAGAAATATCTTCGTTAGTATGTTTCTTTCTAGTCGCTATACCTACTGCTTTTCATATGCCTACGCATTTTAATTAACAAGTGTTTATTTGTTGAGAAAAACAATACAAGTTAATTTAATCTTTTCATTACATTGAATATATAAGAACTTCAGTATTTGCGGCTTTTATCCAACCAAATTTCTTAGCAGGGACGTAAAATTCATCCCCAGGATCTACAATAACCTGCCAGTCGTTACCCTCAAATTTGCTGTTCATGTGATCCTTGATGACTCTTCCTATGACCTTCCTACAATCGTACTTGAAGAAGGATTCCCTCAGCTTGTTTTCCGCCTCCCTGACCTCATCGTCCGGCATAGAGTCGGATTTTTTCAACACTTCTGTCTACGAAAAATCAAAAACGAAATAACTTTTAGTAAAAAGTATCATATTTCAAACTCACCTCCACATGTCCAGCAAAAACTTGTATTTTTTCTTTCCTGCCATCTGCCCCTGGGACGTATATGTTGTAATAATTCTCGTATGAAGGATTTTCCACTGCGAAACCCCTCTCCCCATCTTTAACCGACGTCACTGTCCTATATAGCCTAGTTTCGTACCACTAGAAAGCGTATTTTTATTATTTGATACAGCTGAAACGAAAAACGAACTTACTTTTTCGTCAGTCGTGGATACTCTGTCTATTTCCTCGGTTTTTCCATCTTTGATATGGGTAGTTCTAGAACGGCCAATAAATTGGGTTCCCTTGAAGGTGTTGATCCAGTCTTGGATAGTCTCCGTTGTTATTTTTGATTCGGTCGGTTGAACCTGAAAACCATCATGAATGTTAATAATTACATCATCAAAACAACGATTAAGTAGATTATCTTATTATCTTTTTGTTTAGAAACGAATATTATATTTTCTATTGAGCATTACAATCCGGCATATTCAAACTGGATGAGGTATGAGCTAATTCTAGAAACATCAAAAAGCATATAGGTATATATACACAAATAGGCACACACATATTAAATCAATAATAAATATAAATACGTACACACATACATGTATAAGTTAAAACAATGTATAAATATAAAAAAATACAGCAAACATTTATTTGAAGAAATCTGCGGTACTGTAAATACACTGTTCAGTTAAATAAAATTTAAGTTCGTATTTCAATTTTTTTTCATTATAAATAACTTTTATGTGACTTGGGAGCTGATTAAAAATTTCGGCTCCAATACGACTTGGAGCATTATAGGTAATATTTACTCTGGAGTAAGGAAGATCCCTAGTCCTAGTATTTTTATTATGGATATCAGAATTGGTAAAAAATTGTAATTTATTATTAAAAACGAACATGCAGATCTCATAAATATACAAGCCATACAAGGTAAGAAGTTTAAATTTTCCAAAAATATTTACACATGAATGTGTGCTAGAGACATCAGCAGTGCAACGCAATATTCTTTTCTGGGCTATAAAAACGTCTCGTGAGAGGTAAAATCACCCCAGAAAACAATACCATACCTTAGTCGACTTTCAACTTGTGCATAATATAATTTAAGTAAATGATCACGGTCGAGTACACCATTAATAGAGTAAAAAAGATAACAAAGAGAAGCCAGTTTATATGACAAGAATTCACAATGTGCTTTCCAGCTTAAATATGAGTCCAAGTAAATGCCTAAAAAATTACAACTGGAATTATTTTGTACAAGAAATTCAGTGTTGTCATTAGCAATCAATTTGAAACTATCAATGTGTTTTTGTGTTGTATGGAATCTAACGAATTGTGTTTTGTCAGAGTTAAAATATATATATTATTAAACCAATTAATTAACTTCGAAATAATGAGTTCACATTTTTGCTTTATGTTAATGCATGATTTATCAGATACTAACAGAGACGTATCATTGGCGTAAAGAGTAAAGTGAGCTTTATCATATTATTAACATATAAAAGAAAAAGCATATGGCCCAAAACAAAGCCCTGAGGCACTACCATATTTATATCAATAATATCTGACTTGAACGTATGTATCGTGTCCTTACTCTGATGATTAATACTCACATACTGACTTCGATGTTTCAGAAATGATATCACCCAATTCAGAGACTTACCTCTTATCCCATTACTATACAGGGTGTTTCAGAATGACCTCCCATAAATTCAGGGAGTGATAGTACGACACAAAATAAGAATTTTTTGTCCTTATGAACTATATGTCTATCTCCTCTTGTTTTCGAGATACAGAGCGACAAAATAAAATTTTTTAAATAGAATTTTTACGAAAATTTCCAAATGATGCGAAATATTTTTATGAAATTTGGTAGTCCTGGGTTTCTAAGGACGCCAAATACGCTGGTCTAATAATTTTTTGTATATTTTATAGAAGGCGCTAGTTATTCGTATTACATTTTAAGTTCTAATTTTTTTGAGGTTAGGTTTTTTAGCATTCAGGCTCCAATTTCTAATGTACAATTTTATTTTCTAAAAATAATGTAGGTACTCTTGTTAGAACTTCCTAATGTGGACGGTTTTTGAGAAAAAAGTTTTTAATTGAACTCTTACAATATTACGGTGTATAAAATAAGTGACTTTTCTCAAAGTAGGCTTATGTCAAAACTTATTGGATTGGTGGATGTCTCATAAACAACGCATACATTCTTAGTAATATTTTAAACTTTAATTAACTTTATATCAAAATTTTAGTGACTGTAATTAGTCACTACTACTAACTAACTACAGTCACTAACAATCACTAAAATTTTGATATACAGTTAATTAGAGTTTAAAATATTACTGAGAATGTATGCGTTGTTTATGAGACATTCATCAATAAGTTCTGACATAAGCCTACTTTGAGAAAAGTTACTTATTTTCTTCGTAATATTGTAAGAGTTCAATTAAAAGCCTTTTTTCTCGAAAACCGTTCACATTAGGAAATTCTAACAAGATTACATTATTTTTAGAAAATAAAATTTTACATTAGAAATTGGAGCCTGAATGGTAAAAAACCCAACCTTAAAAAAATTAGAACCTAAAATGTAATAGGAATGTAGAGTAACTAGCGCCCTCTATAAAATATACAAAAAAATATTAGACCAGCGTATTTGGCGTCCTTAAAAACCCAGGAATACTAAATTTCATAAAAATTGAAAATCCGCTGGAAATTGTTATAGATCTGTAATTATTTAACAGATGGGGATCGTATTTCTTAAAAATCGGGATAACTTTTCGAGCATCAGCTTTAAATTATTTTTTATAATAAACAAGGGTATCTCAGCGGGTCCTAATTTTTATTTTTTAGTTTGCGAATTAGCAGATAATAGAGCTCATCAGGAGAACTTTAAAAACATTAAATTTGACATTTCGTTCCGTACACACTTGATTTGTCTACAAATTCTACACAAAGCAGTCTACACTTACATTATTTGTTGGCATTCGAATAGAATACTCTTTAACTTGTTTTACTTCACCATCTGCCCAATGCCTTACATCTGACGAAACGACAGTAACATTCATTTCATTTTCATCTATTTTCTCGACCAGTTTTTTCAGTGCTTCTTTCAGTTCCTCCTTAAATTTCTCCTTCTAAAAAAGACAAAGTTTTCCCGATTCACATCTCAAGTTTTGAAAGCCCGATCAAAATCTATGATTTCATTTTTTTTATATATACTTACATCGTCAGTATCGCACAAGGACAACCCAAAAAGGGCTAGTGAAAAGAATAAGAACATCGGTAGCCTCATGTTGAAGATTAATTGTTTGTAAATAACTGTTGGAAATTGAAAATGTGATTAGACTTTATGCGATAGTTTGTTTGTCTCATCTCATTCGGAAGACAGGCCTGGACTCTTGGAATTTATTTTTAAATATGTGCAAACGGCGATTGGTTTACTCTGACTAATTTAATTTTTTAAATAATAAAGTTAAAACTGTTAAAATGTGTAAAAACTTATATCTATTTTATAACGAGGCACAAAAATTAAGGGATATTAAAAAAAAAACAAAATTTTGGGTGATTTTTAAAGAGCTGTAACTTGGAGGGAAATGGTCGTAGAGAGAATTTAAAAAAAGGAAATTGAAGCTTCAAGTGTCTAGTTTTCAGATCTGCAGTTTAAATTTTTTATCGTCAGCAGTTTTTGAGTAATCATAAAAAAATCAACGAAAAAAAAATTGTAAATATTTGTTTTTTTTTAAAAGGCCTATAGACCTCAAAACATTTTTGTTTGGTAATTTCATCTTAAAGCTCTTTTAGATAATTTAATTCTCTTCAATTTGAGCGGTTCCGGAGCCCTGTACGATTATTTGTCGCTGACTTTGGCTATCAATTATTCGGGAAATATTTGTCGTACAGAAAATTCAAGCAGGGTTTTAAAAACTGCAAAGTATTCTCTACAAGTCGTAATTATGGGCTTTTGATAAAAAAATGTTTTCAAAGTGAAAATGGTTAGAAAGATGGTAAAAAATTGCATAATTAGGGATATTTGAATAACTTGGCATAACTTTGCAAATAATGAATAAACTAAGGATATCGACTATAGCTCTTCAACCTCAAAGTATCCTAAAGAAACCCTGATAATTTCAAAACGCTGCGATTTTTTTTGCCTAATGCGAGGAATGTTTAAATTTGTCGTTTTATTGAAAATCAATGTAATAAGTAATTTTTCACTTTTTATTCCTTTTTTTTAAGTCAAACATGTTTTTTTAGCAGTAATCCATATTTACCTGGCAAGTACATGTAATCCCACTCATAATTAATATTTGTTTCGTATAAAACCCTTTGCATATTAAATACAATTTATTGCAAATAATATTTTTATCGATAATTCACAAATTTTTACAATTGGAAAGATTATTAAAAATTTTCACAAATTTTTGGGAGTACATTGCTTTTGGTCTAGCTCTAGACCTTAGTTCTACAGTCCCAGTCACTCAGGCATTGTCCAATTCTGCAGTGAAGATTCCAAGGGGTAAAATAAGCTCCTAAAAGCTTCCAAATTCATGGATACTCACAGGAGACGTACGCAAACTCCCAGAAGTTTCCAAATTTTCAGGTACTTACAGGAATCGTCAAACCATTTCTAGGCAAGGCAAAACCTAAAAAGACAGTGATACAGACAGACGCTAAAGTATTCATACAAGAAGTACCCAAAAAAATATTTAGTGCAACTATTCGCAGTTGAAAATTTCCAAATTAAAGACGACATGGCACCTAACGTGAGGCTCAAATGTCCGAAACACCAAATTAATGTGATGATAAACGCCACTCTCTTCCTCCAGTAAGAACTACATTGGAAGCTTCCAAACCATCCTGAACTTAGATACTATAAACTTTTCTAACACATAACCAATAACTTGTAAAAGAAAATTATTTACTACGCTTCTGTACTTTTCATTTTTTTAACAACTATTTGTTGTTGCTAAGCATTATTATTAAATCTTCGTTGTCCTTTACAGATCATTGGCTATCATATATTAATTTGTTGTTTATGCACAGAAAGTAATATGTTGGTTAAACTAGTATTTTTTCTTAAATCTTAATAAATCATTCAATCACGTGAACTGTAGATGTAAACAACAAAAAATACAAAATTAGGAAATATAACAAATTAAGTCGGATGGGTACCACCACAGATAATGAAAATCTAAAATTACTTATTACTTTAATTTAAATTTTCATATATGTATATTTTGCTTGCCCTTTGTTGCACAACTACAGTTGTACACAATAAAGAGTATAATATTTAAGCGAATTTTCATTTTCTACAGTCTTTATTTTATGTTTGTCTCTTTTATGGGTTAATAAATATTCAGTTTAATATGCAGTTCATCGTTTTGTTTTGTCCAAACATTTTACATAATCCCATGATTCAGACTCTAGCTTCTAAGAATTGTTAATCACTTCAATCAGCGATGCTATTTTTAAGATACCCAGTAAAAGCCTACATTCCAGAGAAAATATTATTTATCTATGAAGAAGATATATCAGGTGAATACCCACAGTTGAAGAATGTATTGGACAGAGTATTGAAAAAAGTATTGCACTGAGCAACGGAAATATTCAAACGGATATTTTGGTACCAATGTTTTTGTTTTTCTTTTAGGTTTGATTTCCAATCAGCTGATCTTGTAACATCAGCAGCAGTAAATACAAATTTTTGTTGGCCGTTTAAGATTAAGTTATAAAGGTCGTCCTAGAAAATTTAACATTGTATCTCAGATATAAATTATAATTTATTTTGAAACATTAATAATAACGTGTATTTCTTTGGCAAATTAAAAAAAATAATAATTTAAGATTCCTCATATTATAACAAAACTAACATTTAAATGTTTTAGGTAATCAAGAAAATATCAATAAAATATAAATCTTGAATATGAAATGCGACTCTTTGAATCTATTTTTTATTTCATCTATAGAGTATTCAAAAAAGGCAGATCAATTCACTTAATACTTTTAATCTGTCAGTAATCAGTATTCTGGATTATTTCAAAAACTTAATTTTTTAGAAAATGTAGAGTACCTTTTTTAAAGAGGAATGACCAAAGTATTTAAGTTTTCAACTGTATAAAATGACACCTGTCAAAATTTTGGCCCAACGAGTGTGGTGGCAAGTCCGTTCCTGACCTCCCTGACAGTGTAAAACATCTACTGCAGTTTGGTTTTATGGGCCTTTATGCCCTACATAAAATATTAAAATTTCATTAAATTATATACGTCGGTTCAAAAGTTAGAGCCGAAAAAGTAAATCGCTGGAGAACTTGAGCACTTCCCTAGACTCTCCCGAGAGTATGCCGTATATTTACCAGACACCCTGTATACTGATGACCTGAATTAGTGTAAAATGCAAACAGGAAGTGGCTGGGCTATGAAGCCTATCAAATTAGTTGTGGCCCTCTGAAATTTTCAAAACTCTACGCCTATGTGTAAACTAAACAGCCTGGCTACGAACACGTGTACTGACTTTCGTTAGCTAGCACTTGCAGGAAAGAATATATCAAGTACGTTAATATAGAAATTGTCTTTTTCTTATGGAATACGACGCCTTGTTCATGCAAATTTTTAAAGCTGAAAATAATAACACATACAGACCCGTTATAAAAATTTCTTTCCCAATCTCCGCCTATGGTTTCCGACGTCAAAGGCGAATCATGTGTACCAGTGGACTCTATTAATAAATCACGACATAATATCTTGTATCAAATAGTAAATATTCGTTATTCTCAAAAAATATTTTTTAACAAAAAAACAACTACAAATCTTGTGAAAAAGTAAAAAGATTACAAATTCGCCCAGTTTTCAAATCTGGAAAATAAATATTCCAGTCTTTTCAACATTAAAATTTATTTACACTTTTTAGCTCCCTGGCTATGCCCATGTCTGAATATAACAAATAGTCCGGGCGAATTTTTTTTTTTTTTTTCAAAAATCGGGTCTACCTCGAACTTTATGGGCTTAAAATTAAGTAAAAAATACACAGAATAAAAACCTAAATTTATGTATTTGTAGAGGTCGAGCGTCACATTGCTTATAACAAAAGAAAAAAAAAAACAATTGCTATTTTTTCAGTTTTTCGCTTATATCTCCGAAAATAAGCCTCTAATCGACATGAGGTATACTTATCAATTTTGTTCCTGAGGAAATTTGCTACAAGAGTAGGCTTTTACGAAAGCTCACAAAATTTTTTTACATTGCAAAATTAGCGGTTAAAAAAAGGGCAAAAATTTCAACCTATAAAGGAAGTCTTCTACTTTACAACGGGGCCAAGTTTATTACAAAATATTAAATAGAACAGTCAAAATACCATTAAAAAAATTATCTGGGCTCCTATTGGTCGGATCGAGATGCTTTTTTTTCTTAATTCATGTTTTTTTAAGTACTATTTGATGCAATCGGTTTGAAATCTGTATATTAAAAAATTGCCGAGATAAGGACCCTTTTTACCATTTTTTTTTTGGTTTTTTGTTTGTTGTTTTGTTTGTTTGGTGTTTATTTGTTTTGTTTGTTTTGATAACTTTTTTATTTTGCAACATAAAAATCTTAAATTTACACATTCGCGAGATAATGTAATTATCTTTCGATCCTTTTTTAACAAATTTCGATACCTTGACTTGGGTAGAAGATATACGCGCTTGCATTTTCGACTTTATAATTTTGCAGTAGGACGCCATTTTGAAATTAGTGGTCCGGATTGCGGGTATCTGTTGAGCACCCCCAACAATGATGTTTTCCTGTAGTTTCATTCAATTTCAATCAAATTCGTTATTTTTATTTAATGCCTAAATTATTTTTTTTTCTTTTGTTGTAAGCAATATAACACTCGACCTCTACAAATACAAAAATTTAGGCTTTTATTCTGTATATTTCTTACTTAATTTTAAGCACATAAAATTCGAGGTAGATCCGATTTTTGAAACAGGCATGTGTTTGGTCTAATTCGCCCGGATTAAAAGAAAGTATGTAAAAAAACCCATCTTATTATTATATTCTGTTATTTATTTATCATATAACAATTCACATTTAAGTATAACATCTATTTTTTCACTCCAAAAACCGTGTATTCTATGGGATAATCCCCCACTTCCACGTTATCGTACGTCAATTTGATGTAAACGTCATGTTTGGCATTGTCAGCTTGCTCGTCCTGCCACTTCGTGACTAACCAAACGTAGTCTGGATGAGCGTTGGACATAGCAGCTGATAATTCTTTGGCCACCCTGTCGGGGTAGTTCAAGACGTATTTGGCAAGGCCTTCCATTGCGGAGTCCATCATTTTTTCATCGACGTTGTCCGACGCCTTGTCTACGTACACCTGGAAACGAAAAAACAGCGACTGAATGAAAAGAGAAACCAAAAAGTTGGGACCGGTGGCGAAAAGGGTTCACCAAGGGTCTTCCTTGGGCTGTTTATTCGAATTTTGTATGAAACAGTAAAGAAAATTTGTAAAACAATTTGTCGAATCTAAATTCAATGGTACTCACCAACAGTTTTGGTTCCACCCTCGATTCTTCGCTAACAAACTTTTTGTCAGCATCCCACACCAAAACACTTATCAAAGTGTTGTTACTTCTGTCTTCAAAACGTTTCTTGAATTCCTCTTCCAATTTCTTTTTATCCGTACCAATTATGTTGTCCCTTAAGTAGTAGCCCATGCCTTCATCGTCTTGGTAGAACTAGATATAAAAATATTTTTTTCTATTTAAACAAAAAAATAAATGTTTACACTTACCACTTCATTTTTGCCAACGTATATTTCTAATTCTGCTTCCCCGTCGACTTGTTTCAAATAAGCGGCCTCTTTATCATAGTGGCCACTTTCAAATGCTCTTTTGTAGTCCGTTTGCATTTTTTTGATAGTATCCCCTAATTCATCATCATTCTGTTTTAGCTTTTCTAAAGAATCCGTATATTCGTTGTTACTACTAGAACCCCTATGGTACTGCAGAATAAAACGTTAGTTAATAATTAGTTTTAATTATTTTCATGAACATCTTTTATAGTTACATCACCCTTACTTTTTTCTATTTAAAAATCTTAAAATGAAATTTGTAAGCTTAAAAATCCCACTGCAAAAAATTTCTTTATATCAGGATCACAGAAATGCAGAGGAAGTACATCAAAGAATTCCAGATGGCCAATTATCACCATCAACACTAAAGCTTTAATTGATTCAAATTGTTTTATTTCTCACCACACTGGGAATTGTCAGCTCAATAGTTTTTATCTCTTTGAAAGATCCATCAGCGTTATGAATATTCTGACTAGCCACTACTGTAACACCATGTCCTGTGTATTTTAACAGAGCCCCAACCAAGTCATTGAGGATCTCTAATTTATTTTTATCCCATTCTGCAGTAGGCTGAAATTGTGAAAAATAAAAATACAATTGTAAACATTAAAAAAACATTTCTTTCAAACTTTCAACTTACATCATCATCAACTGGTGGTGTGGGGATTGATACAGACACAGAATAGGTCAAAATTGCAGAGATCAACAACAAATAATTGAAACGGAACATTTTCAACTTGTATCAAGTTTAATCCTTTTTTAAGAATGCTCCTTGTTATCCACATTGCCAAGTTTATATATTCATCGATTTTTTATACGATATGTTGTTTATAGTTTACATCAGCGTAAATAACAAGCTGACCAATTTTATTTATAGTCTGATAATGGTTGATTGATAATTGCACAAAAGAGTTTAGGCATGATATTGAAAATGCTTTCCTTCTAAATTTAAAAAATTTATCTTTGTTTTTACAGGTACAGGTATACTTTTAAAAGTATTTTTAATTACTTTTCCTGGACTATCCAAATTCGGTATAGATAGATTGGCCTTTTATTTAAAAGTTAACATAAAAATTGGAAACGAGTTATTATTAGTAGTGACATCTGTTGACCACTGCTTCGTTTGGTAGTGACATCTGTTGGGCAATGATTCCTATCACAGTTCCCAGAATTGACTTTGTTCTGATTAGATGACACCACCAGTTTTATTTTGTTTTTGTAGTTTGAGGTTAGAATACCTCACAAACCGACTAACCTTAAATTTTTTATGGGGTAAACATAATCAATCAAAACAAATTATGATTGACTTGGTGTTTTCCAATGGAGAAATTTTTACGTATAAAGTAGATGACTGGGCCACACTAAGAAAACAACACAGAATTATCGGTGAAATTGTAGGCAATACGACTAATATTCCGTCCCTACCAGTGAAAATTTTGCCTGAAGAGGCCACTCTGTTGTTGAATAAAGAAATAGTATCAGTTTATGAAGTTACAAATTACTCGTCCTTAGAAAAAGATAAAATAGAAGATTTCGAAAATAACCTGCTGCAGCATGAAATCATCGAGTACAAGAAAATTCGACGTGCCCAGCTGGAGAGCGTAATCGATAAGATCGTTGAAAAACGAAGAAAAACTGGTGACGATAGCTCCCCGGAAGAAATACTGAACAGTGAACTTGAAAAATCTACCTCGGTAACTAAAGATAACATGATATGGCCTATCCTTATGCAACCCCTGAACATTTCGGAAGCAGATAAGAAACGTGTTGCATCAGAAGACATTCTAAAACTTACCACGGAGTTAAAATGTGCAGTGTATCGCGATTTGTGGGAAAAGGGGTACTATATAACACAAGGTGATAAGTTTGGAGGGGATTTCTTAGTGTACTTTGGCGATCCAGTGTGTCATCACGCTATTTTCATCGTAAGGTGTGTAAAACCTGAAGAAAGGATAACACCAGCTGAAATCGTAGCTTTTGGTAGACTAGGGACTTCTGTGAAGAAAAGGGCAGTGTTAGCGTCTGTGGTGGATGATACTGTTTCTTACGTCACCATTAATTGGATAGATGCTTAGGATTTGTAGATTTGGTTTTATAATTATACTGGTAAGTCTTTATAAAACGTTTTTTTTTTTACCTACCATTTTTCCACTTCCTATGATATGGACAAATTTAATGGAGTATTTGCTTCTATGAGGAAAGAATAAATAAAATGCACACAGTTAACAAGTAACATTATTTATTTTAATAAATTCTAGAAAATTTGTTTCTAAAATAAGCTTTTGGAATTTCATTAACAACAGTACTTTCAAAGATTACCTCCATTGTACTTATCAACTAGGCAGCTTTTCAAACGAATAAAAAAACCGCACGATCCTTAAAAGTAAGACAATAGAGAATAAATAAAATTCCCTGAGATAACAATAAACGAAACATTTAAATTAATAGTAAGCAAGGAAACACAAAACATAAATAATGTTACAAAAAATAAATAGTAGAGATAGTACCTACTTAAACTACGATTACAAAAATCTATGAAACAACTAATTAAAACTTTATTTTTCTAAAAACAAAGCAGCCATCCATTAACTACGTGAAGATTTATCACACTATTTTGGAAAATACTTCCCGAAAACTGAAAGCTGTCGAATATATATTGAAAATGTTTAATCTAAACTGATCTAGACAGTTGTGCTTCGTAATATTGGCGATCGATTAAAAGATTAAAAAAGGATTATTGCTTAGCACTACATGTTTCCATGATGGTAGAAAATCGGGTTTTTAAAGGTTAAATGCAAAACTAGTTAAAAAACAATTTTGAAAAAAATTTTTTATAGTGTGTATACCTATAAGTATAAGATTGTATTTTCCTGTAAGAGATTCAAAGTCAAGCAGTTGTAACATTTTTTTTCCTTATTATTATTATTATTATTACTATGATAAAAACTTCCCCTCCCTTTCCGATAATTTCTGCCAATAATTACAGAATGCTTGAAGCTAGGCTTGAAGACACCTAAAAATACAGGGTATCCCAAAAGTACGGAAACCCCGGAAAAACATTTCATACAAAAGTGTCACAATTTGATGACTTTGAATTTGGCCTTGCCCTTGACCTTGAAGGTCAATGCAAGGTCAAGGTAATTTTTCAAATGGAAACCCATACTTTTTATCACGTCATTGGAAAATTTTACGTCCGAATATGACTTTGACCATGACCTTGAGACCATGGTCAAGGTCAAATAAGGTTTTTGATAGATACCGCCTGGAAACCGCAGAATGATTCGGAAGTAAAGGGATATACGGAAGAACGTTTCATACAAAGGTTTCTGGATTTTTTCCGGGTTATTCAAAAAATAAAGGTCATGAAATCATATTCAGAACCAAAATTTTCCGCTGTTTCTAACACCACAATAAAGAATATGGGTTACCCTCACAAAGATTGACCCCTACCTTGAAATAACCATGATCTCAAGGTCATGGTCAGAGCCATATTAGGACGTAAAATTTTCCGCTTTTTTCAATGGCATGATAAAAAGTAGGGGTTCTCATTTGAAAAAATTACCTTGACCTTGAAATTGCCTTCAAGGTTAGGCCAAGGTCAAATTTAAGGTCATCATTGAATAACCCAAAAAAATCCTGAAACTTTTGTATGAAACGTTTTTTCATATAGTCTTTCCGAGTTATTCTGGAGTTTCGATACTTTTGGGATACCCTGTTTTGTAAGTTCATTGAAAAATGTTCAAAACACAGAAACTGTAACCTAAAGCTAAGAAATAAATATTTATAACCTAAAATACTAATAGAAAAATACTTTGAGACGTGAAGACTAGAAGAAAGGCACAAAAATAAGACGCAAAGTACGGCAAGCGAGAAAGAGTGACTTAAATTCAAAGTTAAGAGGGCTCTGTAGGAAATAGCCAACCAGCGATACATTTTTATAGATTTTATTACATAGTTTGTCGAAATATGAATTAATGCACAAATAACAGACTTTCCTCCATTTTAACGCAGATTTTTTATAAAATGGAGTTGGTTTGTAACTCAAATTATTTTTTGGTGTTAAGAAATTTGTAATTTTGTACAAGCGGCATCGTAAATTACAAATTTCTTTGCACCAAAAAGTTATTTGAACTAAGTCCATTTTATAGAAAATCTGCCTTAAAATGGGGGAAAGTCTGTTATTTGTGCATTAATTCATATTTAGACAAATGGTGTAATAAAATCTATACAAATGTATCGCTGGTTGGCTATTTGCTACAGAGCCCTCTTAATGGCAAAGCAATGAAGAAAGATTACAGAAAGTTAGCAAAATGGGTTTCCTAGGCGTTTCAAGCTGAATAAAATCCAAAATATTTTAATCGTTTACTAAATAAGTCACGGAAAAACTGTTCCTAGTTCTGTTGATTTTCGAAAGGGAACAACCAAGTATGAACATCTTTCCTGACTGCTTTGCCCACTAACAAATAAGTGCAAATTACTCCCCAAAAAAAAGTATTCCCGCGCAAGCTCACGTCATTCCCGTCGGGTTCGACGAATCAAACGCACCCCGGATAACACTAGAACAACTTTTAAAACGTACAAACAACATTTTTATTGAAATCGGCAATACAGTATAAAAAATTCAAACGGAGGGCGTCGGCTTGACGGCCTTGCCCTCGATCACTTCTTTCAGGACGTTTCGGAACGAATTCAACGCGGCGGACAAAGACAACTTCAAGCCTTTGCTGACGGGCAACAGGGGGAAATCCGGCACTACAGCGTCAGTCTCACCACAGAATTTATTCAGACGATCGCACAGGCTCCTCCCGTTTTTAGCGAAGTGCGAGAAAATCTCCCCTTTGAATACCTCGGGCGGGGACAGCAGCATTTCCGTCATCGACTGCACTAGTTTCAGGATGACGAGCTCGTTGTAAGTCCGGGAGTTCTCGTAGCCCTGCTGGGTGTCGGTTTGTTTCTCGTACCCCGCCTCGTTGTAGTACGGCTCGGACACTAAGATAAGTCCCTGAATTGACACGATCAGTTGGAGGAGGGTGCTCTTCGGGCCCCAGACTTCCGTCCCGCGACCCATCCACGTTCCCAGCAGCGACACGCACACTTTACCCTCGACGTACAGGTTCGGGTTCAAACGCTCGGTGCTGTAGCTTATGTAGTGCACCAGAGGGGGCGAACGGGGGTAGTCCGGACTCAATTGGATGTCGAAGAGGAACAACCCGTCCTCGTACGGCGTTTTCGAGGGACCTTGGATCATGACCGATAACAGATCGATCCTGTTTCCGTAGGAGCGCACCCAGACACCCGGAGGGAGGGACTCCTTCAGCAGCTTGTACTCTTTCTGCACTGCTTTGAGGAAACGTTGCAAGTCCGTCGGTTCGAACTTGCCGGAATAGAAATGGTGCATCACCGGAGCTTCTTCGATGATCGTGTAGGGTTCGTTTTCGATTTCGCCCATTTTATCGTTAAATTTGGGCCGAAGCGGGCTCAAAGCGGAAAACGACTCGTCTGGTGTCGTCGGACAGCTAGGGAGGGGCGTCGAACTTGCTGGGGTGGCGACGTTTTCCGAAGCTTTCGTCAGCACAGACAAGGCCTGGGTGCCCCCGATCCGGCTTATGATTTCGGCGTAAGCCAGGTCCATGCGCATTTTCAGCATGGAAAGTAACTCGACGCAGAGGTTGTCCTGGGACATGTAAGTCACTTCGGTACTGTCGGGAGTCAGAGGTGTCGTCGGGACTGAAAAAACAAACAAACGTAAGTAACGGAAGACCGTTTGGAGTTTTAGCATCCTACCCGTGGCTTCCTTACTTCCTTCTTTCTTCTCGATCTGAGCGTTTATCCTATTTTCCAACTTGATCATCTTGTTGATGTTCTCTTTCTCGGCCAGTTTGATTTTCGAGATGGACGGACACAGATTATCGCCGGAGAACAGCCTACCCCTGAGCTCCACCCCCAGGGTCTTAGCCTTCTCCTTGGCGTTCATCAATAAGGTCTGGAAATGTTTGCTTTTCAGGCTGAAGAAAGACGTTCCGAGGAGTTTGTCTAAGTAACTGGAGTTCTCGTACACCAGAAGCAGATCTTTCAGAAACTAATGGGGAAAGTTTAGCTCAAAATATTAAATGATTACCACCCATATATATCGATAACTATTAGATTGTAAAACAAGATTCTTTTATAATAATTTTATATAATTTTTCCACTTCAAAAAATCCAATTTGGATATCCTGAGAAAAAATAAACCAAAAGAACCAATTCCTATTTCCAACTATTATCGAATTTCATGCCAATGTATAAATAAAAAATGGCCAAAAAATAATTGCATATGTTTTATTAAATAAATATAAACTATATGCAATTATTTAATATATTTCCTTAATTTAACTAAGTTTATAAAAGTCTATAAAACTCTCAAAGTTAGGCTATCAACATCATTTTTGCTGTTACATTTTGATTACTTCAAATAGCTATAACTTTGTTAACTTAAATGGAACACCCTGTATTTTTTTACTGTCGTGCAGATTAAGATTTCCTTTCAAGCCATATAAGCATTGTTACGGTTGTCGTTACTACTTTTAGAGATGTTTGCAATTTTCTATTTTTTGGGCAGTTTTTCTCGTATCATAGCTGTTGTCAAGTTGGCCATGGCCATAAACACTCCAAAAACAATTGATATAACATGACATTTGTCACGTTAGTTGTCAAATTATTGTTGTGTCTGAATAGTTTTTGCTGAAAATTTAAATAAAATTGCCTGGGGATCGTTTAAATTATACTAATGAGGATTATTTTGTTTTTTATTTATGGAAAACGTGACAAAGTAATTTCAAGAACATGTGAAGAATTTGCTAAACCATAACCATAGACACTCCAAAAACAATTGAAATAACTTTACATTTGTCAAGTTAGTTGTCAAATTATCGTTGTGTCTGAATAGTTTTTGCTGAAAATTGAAATAAAATTGCCTGGGGATCGTTTAAATTATACTAATGCGGATTATTTTAATTTGTTTTTTATTTATTTAAATTGCGACAAAATAATTTCAAGAACGTGAAGAATTTGCTGCTTTTTTTTATGCAATGATATATAGGGTGTCCCATTTAAAATAACGAAGTTGGTGTCGACTTCCGGTAGAACTGGAAGTGCTTGGAGAGTTATAAATATTTTAGTCGTGTTCGCCCCAGGGACACTGCCATGTTGCCAAATTTTCAAATTTTTCGGAGCAGTACTTTCCTAGATATCGATCACCCTGTATGTATACTAGGATGGGTAAAAAAAAATCGACAATTTTTTTTTTTACTTTGTACTCTGAAAAATAGGTTGCTAGACACCTCTAGAAAATTCTCTCCAAATATGAGCTCTTAATCTTAATAGGAAGGTCCTCCGCTTTACAGTTTTCCATTTTTTCCTCAGTATTAGAAAAAAAAATTCATAACTCTCTATCAACTGTTCGTTAAAAATATCTCTCCTCATATACTTATAGGAAATTGAACGCTCTACAAAAAAGGTCTCTTACAATGTTTTTGTAAACCTCACCGTTTAAAAGATATTAAAGGTTGAAGTTTGATTATTTTAAGACAAATTTCTGTTTTGCTTATGAATTTTATATCTCGTTAACAAAAAATCATTATGAAATGCGCAATTCACAGTTTTGTAGGAAATTAACTGCTCTACAAAAATGGTCTCTTATGATTAGTCGATTAAATAAAGCGTTTAAAAGATATTCATCGTCAAACTTCAATGCACGCCAATTTTAACAGTTTTTGATTAATAATAATTCGAAAAATTTCAATTTAGTTTATGAGTTTTAGGGAAATTTATACAAATTTGAGTTTCTATGAACAGAGAAATGTTTAAACTATTTTTCTAGTTTTTTTTTTAGTCGTAAGCATGTTTGGTTACATCGAAAAAAAATTAGTGCATTATTTCTGACTGAGAGTCAATGATTCATTAAATCTTGAAAAAATAACGTTTTTGTTAGAAATTTATTATGAAAAGTATGAATCTTAAAGAAAAAAAATGTTCAATTTGTTATTAAAAAGTTTTTTTTTTAATTATAAAGCGTGTTATAAAATTTCAAACATTTTGGTTTTGTGCTGATTTTTTTTTTAACTTTTTTGTAATTTTAACCATTGAGTATGATAGCGAAGAATTTTTTTGACTGCATTAGGAGCTTCACTAGAAACTCAAATTTGAATAAATTTCCCTGAAACAAACTAAATTGAAATTTTCCAAATTATTAATCAAAAACTGTTAAAATTGGCGTGCATTGAAGTTTGACGATGAATATCTTTTAAACGCTTTATTTAATCGACTAATCATAAGAGACCATTTTTGTAGAGCAGTTAATTTCCTACAACACCATGAATTGTGCATTTCATAATGATTTTTTGTTAACAAGTTATAAAATTCATAAGCAAAACAGAAATTTTTCTTAAAATAATCAAATTTCAACCTTTAATATCTTTTAAACGGTGAGGTTTACGAAAAAATTGTAAGAGACCTTTTTTGTAGAGCGTTCAATTTCCTATAAGTATATGAGGAGAGATATTTTTAACAAACAGTTGATAGATTATTTTTTTTTTTTTCTAATACTGAGGAAAAAATGGAAAACTGTAAAGCGGAGGACTTTCCTATTAAAATTAAGAGCTCATATTTGGAGAGAATTTTCTAGAGGTGTCTAGCAACCTATTTTTCAGAGTACAAAGTAAAAAAAAATTGCCGATTTTTTTTTACCCACCCTAATGTATACAGAGTGGTCCAGTTTCTGATGCGGAAACTTCAGACCAATAGAAATTCAAAAAATAATATGAGTTTGCTATATCGGGTGTTTCATAGTTGACATTTACATCGTGTATGTTAAGTGTTTTTGATTTTTTTACTTGAAAACGTCGAGTCGTACAGAAAAATCGAAATAGAGCTTTTTTCTTCCAAATAGAATGAAGAATCCAAAACAGATTTTTATTTTATGAAAAAGCAGTGGCATAGTAATTTTTTCTTTAGAAATAAGTATCCAGTAACGTGGCAAAACTACAAATAATGTTTTTCATTGCAAAACGTGGTCCCCCGATGGTAGTTAACGTCTGCAAAATTTCATTGACATATCTTTACCCGTTTGGCAACAATTAATAAATTTGATTTTTTTAAATCAATCTTGAACACCTTGTAATTTCTTAACGAAGCATTTCCCGAGTATAGTTTACGTAGCACTCATATTATTTTTTGAATCTCTATCGGTTCTCGAAGTTTCCGCATTGTAAACTGGACCACCCTGTATATTCTTTATTTTAAGGATTTAATTCAAAAAGACACTTTGGCTGATTTTCTTTTGTCACTTACGCCCGATTGCAAAATTATCTACAATATAGAATTTCCATAAAATTTTTTGCTTTTAAATTTCATATTTTAAAAAGTCGTAATTTTATGTATCATTGTTTACTGTTTTAATCTTCTAAACACAACAATACAGTTGGTTTTCGATTTAAACTTCATTTTACATAAGAAATATATGGGCTACTTCCCGTAAACAGGAAACGTTTTAAAACTTATTTCTAACTCCAAGGCAAAATAAGTGTGACGTGATGTCAAGCATAAATCGTTGATAACCCAAGTAGCAACGATAAAAATCAAATTATTTTTAACTTACTGAAAAGTTCTCAGTTATCGTGTGCTGTTTAAAAGCCTCTTTCAAGTAGATGATCCTGTTGCGAACGAAGTCCAACCTCGCCGCCATGTTCTGCAAGACGGTTTCATCCGACAAGTCTCCAGCGTAAGACTCTATACTCTCCGTTTCCCACGAAACACAAGCCGCGTCCTCGTCGCTCGATTCCTCGTCGGAAAAGTCGTATTCAGCCGTTTCCGGGATGAGCTCGATGTCCTGCGGCCAGCAGTTGTCCTCGTTGCCGTCAAGCCATTGAACTTTCACGTATCCCTGAAAGGAATTATTTCGATATTAAACGGTCTTTCTATTCATGACTTTCGAAGGGACGAAGCGATAGGGTGTTTGATGTTTTGTCACTGAATACTATTCTGTAGTGAAAAGTAACGTAAGCGGTACACGCAATTTTTAATTTTAATTAAATAAACCAATGGCCCACGTTTCATCAATTTATGTCAAAAGTCCTTAGAGATACTTCAGAAAATGTGATTTTTTTTCTAGTTCCGACACATTGTATCAGAAAAACCAAGCGAACTACAACCCACTTTTTGCTTAAAATAATGTGTTCTATCACCTGGTGAAGTTTTGGTATTAAAACGTTAACCACTCTGTATATATCTTTTTTTATGCTTATATTTTTGATCATATGGCCAAAGCAGTGGGTTTTCCACTGAATGTTCATGTTGTGAAGGTATTTTGTTTTTTTTTATACTGGGTGATTTCACTTTAAATACAGAAACTGCAAGAATATATTAATTGCCAAAAAATATGTAGAGTTTGCTCTATAAACTTTTTTCCTGGGAGATGTGTTATTCAAGACACAGGGTGTTAAAATTTACAAAAAAAAATATATTTTCCGTCATATCCTGACAATGCCTATGGTGCCGCCTCATTTTCCTAAGAAAAAAATACACTGGCGGTGTTTTTGTTTGTTTCCTGGTATTTTTTAATAGATATTTTTTAGAAGATATTTGGACTTGTTCTTACATTTTATTTAATTCTTCTAATAAGTTAAGCCTTTTATTTGATGAAATTTTAACCATGCTACTAAAGCAGCCACCAACTTTGCCCAAGAAAAGAATACGCCACAAGCGGTTCTTAGTGGAAATCATTTTATTTTTGGAAAAAAATGTCAAACCAAATAATAAAATAGTATTAGCAAATAGGTGGAGGAAATAATTAAGTAACGAGTCCTACAACAATTGTTTAAAATGAAGTCCTTTCGCATCGATACACATTTGACATCTTCTAATCATGCTATTTATAGAGGAACTTATCATGACATGATTTTCCCCGAGGAGATTACAATTTTCCTCTATTCTTTCCTACAATTCGACTCGTGTTCATAAGCCCAAGAAGGATTGCAGTTTCTTCTAAGCTAACTCTTTTCGAAAGTTGCGGAACCGTTTTTTTGTATTCTGTGTACAACGGGCTTGTTCGCCATTTTTTAAAATTTCGTTTCATAAAAGAATTTCATCTAAAAATGGCAAAAATGCAAATTTCACAAATACTTTAAAATGTAATTTTCAAGATTATTTATTAAAAAAAAATTTTGACTTCAAACAAGCACAGGCCCCTTACTTGCACCGTTTTACATACGTTTTGAACATTTTTGCTCCCATATACGTATCCCATTATAGAGCAAACTCTTCTCATTTGTTGGCAATTTATTCCTGCAGTTTCTGTATTTAAAGTGAAAAAACCCTGATAGTGCACTTTTTGCCAATTTTTATCACTTTATTAATCCCAATATCACACGAGTTTTATACAGGGTGTTTTTAAATGAAGTAGCAAAAATTGTACCCGTGAATGTAGATCCAAAAATAAGAGGATTGAAGTTAAAAATACCTTATATGAAAGTTGCACACCTGAGGCGATATACCCTCTTAAACCCAGTTTTATTTAACTCTATGTATTTTACCTATTAAGTATCATTTACTAACGTTTTTGTGATAAAAATTTCACTTGCACTGTTTGGGTTTTACCTGTGAAGTATTTACTCTCCAAATAAATAAATAAATAAATTCAAAAATAAATAAACGATCACAGGATGGTTACAAAAATATGACTGCTGAAATTTTCGAGAAAAATGATTACTTCTAAACTCACCTCTATGCAGCTGTCGATAACTTTGCCCATTTTATCGTCTTGGGCCGGTTTGGACTTAACTATACTACCGGGACGGAAAACGAACTTGGAATGCTTCTTTAAGTCGTAGACACTCATCTCGTTCTTTGTCAGTTCGGTGGGTAACTTCTCGTTTTCCGAATAAGTAAACCACTTCACCTAAAAAAATTAAAACGTATTAAATAAATTCGTCCGATTCATAGAAATTACGGTTTTCCGTGTTCCCACGACTTACGCAGGCGGTTCTTTCTAAATAATTGACATTTTGGACGACTCCGTATTTTTCTGTGCATTCTCCCTTAATCGTATCACTAGTAACCCACTCGCCGGGGAAAAATTCGTGATCATCTAACGAAATGGAATAATACAGCTGCGTAGACGGTATATCTTTCTCTTCGCTGCCGTCTTGCCACACCACTGTGATTTTAGACTCTACACAGATCACCTGAAACCAACAAATAAGTTCCGACGCCTCGAAACACTCAAAAAACTGACCTCGATGGGTAAAGTATGCCCGGGAACGAGTTCACGGGGCTTGGGCGGATAGTGTCTCTTCTTAGACGACTTCGATATCGATGTGTTCTGCGAAGACGAGCTGCCGTTGTCGTCAGACTCCTCCCCTTCCTCGGTCCACCATTCGTCTTCCTCAGACTCGATGCAGGCGTAGAGCAGGGACGAACTGCGAATTTTAGGCACTCTAGGTGCGCTGAAAATGTAGGATAATAATTTGTATAACCCGAAAACTCCAGTTTCTTACGTTTTGGTGTTACAGCTAACGATGTGTCTCACTTTTTGGGTGTCGGGTCTGTAAGAAACGGACAGTTTTCGAATCCAGTCTTTTTTCTTTATCAGAACGTCGCACGCGCTCAGTTTCAGCAATCTACGCTCTGCCAATTCTAGACAGGTATCGCTTGGATGTTCCAGAACTTTCAACCTAAAAAAATGTCACATACTTCATCTCGTAAAATTTTTCAATCACTTACTTTTTTATATCGTCCTGCGAAATTTCAGTTATGTGAGAATATCCTGTAGTATTGTTGTACCAGGCTATTTCAATGAGGATGTCTTCTACGTTTTGAACGGTAAACCTTTGCCTTGCCTGGATATTTCTTTTCATGGCTTTAGACTTCTTCACCCAGTGAGGTTGTTCAAAATTGCTTGGAATACATATCTTGGAATAAAAAAATCTTTTATGAGTGTATAAAATTATTATCAAAGCAAGATAAGTTTTTGTCCAACTTTTTTAAATATAAAGCAAGACCTTAGTGGAAATCTAGTTAGAAATACACATACCAGTTCTTGTCCTGGATAAAATGCATCAAAAGATATCCTATTTCTCTTCGACAACCAGTAGTCATCTAAATCATGATTGATACTAGTCAGAACGTCAACTACAGATCCGCATTTCGACTGCATGGAAATCATCTGTTCTATAGCCTAGAAATAGAAAATAGTAACAAAATTAACACGACTGCATCATCCTACTCACTTCAATTCGTCCAAATTTACTTCCTAAACACACAGCGTCGTCCACATCGTAAGGTCTAACACTGTGAAGTCTGTCGCTGTAGACGTGTTCGATAACTTTGTCCGTACCCACAATTTGCACGGTTGCAAGCTGTTTGGTTTCCTTACAGTACCCCCTTTGTGTTTCCTTGCCTTTCTCCAATCGCCGCACGATATCACCTGGTATGACACTCCTGTTCATCAACCTTACTTTGCTTTGTCTCCATACTTGTTCTCTAGAATTATTGCTCCACAACACTCGAATCTGGCCTTTCTGTAGAGCGTGGTACTCGTCCACGTCCGAAGATGCCTCGTAACTATCAATAACAACACCGAAAATGATTCTTTTGTGCTTGTCGAATCTATACACGATATCGTTTGAGTAGAATTCCTTAACTTTGTCAGTATTATTAGACATTTTCTTAAGTTATGTTTTTGAAGGTTTCTTACGGTTCACTATGATTTTGAGTAGTTCTGTGACGGAATGTGTAATGTGGCAATGGCCAATGTGATAGGTTTTTTTGACGTTTTGAAGCGCATGACAGGTTGTAAACAAAAAAACTGTCAAAAAAAGGTTCGCCAGGTCAAGAGCGGTCCTTGACACGAAATACGTCTGGGGGTATTTCTGGTTGCCTGAGAAACATTTATATCGATGTAAATTAAATATAATAATCATAGATTACAGTGGTAATAATACCAAAATATTTCTAAAAACCATACCACTATTTGGTATGATTCCACAATGTGTGGAAAATATTCAATTAATATAAAACTTGACCAAGCTCGTAAACTAAAGTAAATAATTTTGAATTCTAATTTATGCAACACAATATACAATATGTCTGTAAAAGGAACAGTATAACCTGGAATAATGGTTAAACGTATTGATTTAAAACTAAAAAAAATAATTACATACAATTCAATATATCCTGTATTGAGTAAATAAAATATTCAGCCGGTACTTAAACAACAAACGAAGAAGCACTCAATATTTTTTGTTAAAGTGAACATCTTATGAAATATAAATGAAATACTCTCTTATTAATAATGCATGCCATAGGTATTCATCCTGAATTAAAATTAAATCTATAACAGAAATAAAATTAATTTATGGCCTTGTAACTTACACATGATTTTTTTCTTTCTTCTTGACAATGCACAAATTACATTTCTTTCAATTGCAAAATAATTGGGAAAAAAGAATGCCAATTTATTTGTCGAATATACATATCTACATATGGCTATATTATTCGCTAGATGTTACACGCTTAGTAAGAAAGAAAATTATCATTCCCCACAGAGATATTAGTCTTGCGTCGTTTCTCTTTGTCGGAGATAAATTTAAAAAAATCGATATAGGTACAGAATTGATAATGTTGACCCAGTATTGCGCTGTATACAGTTAAGTATGTTAAGTCAGTCACCTTTTGACTAACAATGAATGCAATCGCAAATAAAAGATGAAAAATTCTGCATCTTTTGTGTACTTAACGCACACATCCGCGATGACTTGCCAATGCATTCATTTAACTGTAAAAATGCTGAGGTGCTTTCCTTGTGTACCTACTCTGTGGGCGGTGAGGTATTCTTAATGAGAATTTTAAGATAGCAAAGTACAAAGAACATAAAAGAACATTCTTTATGTCATTGAATAACATTAAATTAGAAGGAGGCTTCTCTCGGATCACTTGCGAGTAGATAAATCTACTAAATCGAATGCGCTTACTAGTTCTAACCTCAATATACATACTAGTTCTCTGGTTACACCGGTGTACCTTTTTTTAAAACACTCAGAATACAGAAGTTACTTGATAAATCAAATTACTTTAAGGTTTTATTACTCGAAAATGAACAGTTACTCTACTTAAACTTTACCGACTTAAAATGAAGTTAACATAAAAGAATGTTAAATATTAACAAGAGCTGGAGACCACTGAGCAATAAAAAACTTTATAGCTACGTCATTATTTAACAGACCATTTAGCCAATCCTATTTTCCACGGTTTACGACCGTTCCATAAAATCAAAATACCATGTGAGCAGTAATTAAGGTTTTTTTAATAAGCAAATTCGCAAGGATCATATAAAGATACTCATTCTTATGTTACTTGACAAAATTAAACTATAAGGAGCTTTCTAATTGTAATTTACCTTATTTAGGATCAGTTACAAGCAGATAGACCTACTAAATCGAATGCGATCAGTAATCTTAACCCCAATATAGTTCTCTTATTTGTATTAAGCTAAATTCTAGTCTAACTTTTTCACAATACATAAAATGGAGTACTTTGTTTATGTTTATACATGGCTGATATTATGCCAACAAATTACAATTACAGGGTATAGGGAATAATTACAAAATAAAATATATAGGAAGGTAAATTTAAAAATGTCTAAGAACGGCGAAATTTTAAGCTAACTTAAGACTAAAATTAAAATTAAAAAAACATATAAATAGCGCAAGTAATTTTACATATTGTGCTTTGTATGAACAAATATCTAAATAGCAGCTATCGAATACAAGAAAAGTTTGGCGTTTTACGGAATGTGGTGACAGATTAGGATAAAACAGAACAGATTTTATTGTTCTTGTATCGGGCAAAGACATGATTTGGTAAATGTATTACATAAAATAATTGAAGTTTTAGGGTCACAAAACAATTTGAAACTACATTGAAAAAATCCCAAATTACGTTGAGCTTTTCCTACAATATAATGTATGTGATTCAAATCATATTTTAACATCTAACGTTACTCTTAAATCTTAGATATATTGCATACATATATAAGGGAACAACACTAATACAATATGTATAATGAAAATTATTTTGTAGACGTGTAAATTTAATAAAGTTGCATTTGTTTATGTTTAAGAACAACTCATTGGTATTAAAATATTTAGAGATGCTTACAAATTTTGACAGTCATCAAGGGATGATATGGATACAAAATAAAATGTGAATGAAAAAATACAAGTGCTAATATCATTGATAAATAAAGAACAGAGAAAAGGGCCCAAATGGGACCCCTGTGGTATGCCCGACTTTCTCCAAAACGAGTATTGATATTTCAATAATGATATATAACAACTCTAATTCATGTTCGGGATATTATTTATAATTTCCGACAATAACAAAGTATTCGTTTACGTCTCCATAAACGGACTGTATTGCTCAAAAATGAACAGTTATCCTACTTAAATTTTCAAGCCTTAAAAATTGAGATAATATAAAACAATATTAAATTTTAACAAGAGCCGACGACACACAACTACGGAGCAATAAAACAATCTTTATATCTACGTCATGTCTTGACAGACCATTATCTCAAAATCTGCAAGGCTGCGCATCTCATCGCAACAAACGCGATTCATTTTAGCGCTTTTTATGCTGTGGCATCCCCGGCGTTGACCCAACGGGCTAATGCAATTGGATTGCAGTAATGAAGCCCGCTCTCGAGCAAGATAATCATCGACGATACCCCTCTACCTACATAATGAACCTCGCAAAAAAAATCGCATAAATTCGATGATTGTGTACCTACGTATTTATGATGGTACTCAGACCACGGAGCCGCTGATAGCAGGGCCTAACGTCTTGGTCGATTTAGAATTCCCGGTATAATTACGAAGATAAATGGGTTCGGATATCGCCTGATATATTCGGAGGCATTTTGGAAACGATAAATTAGAGCGGAAAGACAGTTCAATGCCGCACGACAGACGCGATGGTACCAAGGGATTGACCGTTCTAATACACATATACATACCAATAGTTTGCAGAGTTCTGTAAAGAGGACATTTGTTATGCATTTTGGCAAGTACATAATTTTTCTAATTGATGTTTTCCTAAATCGTGAACGAATTTTTGGTAAACAAAAATTAATTTGTAGTGAAACATTAGGGCCCCACGTTGGGCGCCATGTCGTGGATTTGGGATTTGGTTATTCTTTGGCGGTCGATTAAAGTGGTCTTCCACATACAGGGTGACCCAATAGTGTGACAAAGTTAAATATCTCCCTTATTATAAAGATTTGAAAAGAAATATTTTATGGGAGTGATGTACTTAAAAAAGTTCACATTTTCAAAATATTTTGAATTATACAGGGTGATGCATTAGGGCGGAGCTTCTTTAAGGTGATTTTTCTTAAATGGAACAATAAATATATTTTTAAAAATTTGTATTTTATTTGAAAAAATAGGATAGTTTTCGCTGGAACAGAGTTCTGTAAATCTATCCACTGTGCAGGTACTACCAGTAATTAAGAAAAAATATTTTGTTGGCATGCGGACTAAAGATGTGGACAAACAACAAAACAGAAAAAATTTTAATTTTGTATAGGGTGTTCTACACATAAGCCCCAGTTTAGCGAATTTCGAAGGACATTTTCTCGATTTTTTTAAATGAAACACCCGGTATATTATTTTATTTTCGGATTAATATGTTAATTACCTACAACTTTTGTAAATAATACTCTATGCCTGAAATCACTATTTTCGGAAATATTGGTATTTTTCTAGCAAAACCCCTTTAATTTTGCAAAATTTACTTTTTACTACTCTAGTAGGCCATGAGTTTGACATACAATAACAAAATCTGCAAGTTTACTGTTGTTGTTGTTAAATTGTCAGTAGTGTAAACTGCTGGATTGTAAGTTTAAAAATACTTCAAAATGAACTTTTCTCAAGCAGAAATGGTTGATGTGATTTATGTATTGGGTGCAAATGATAAAAATACTTTATTAGCAACACGAATTTATCATCAACGCTATCCACAGAGAAGGCAGCCCAGTGTACGAACTTTTAGAAAAGTAATGTACTGTAGCTTATTGTAAAAATGTTAGGAAAAGCAGAACATTCACTGAAGAAAATGAATTAAACGTTCTTTTGGCTGTCACTGATGACCCTCATATTAGTCAACGAGAGAAATTGGTATTCAAATAGATATTGGAAGAACATCTGTTCAAAGAATATTAAAAGACAATAAAATGCATCTATGCCATGTCCAATTATTGCAGCAATTAACTGGTGAAGATTGCAGTAGACGATTAGAGGTCTGCGAGTGGGTTCAAAACGAAATTAGAATAGAACGTGATTTAACAGATTTTGTCCTGATTTTCATTATTTTGCCACAGAAAACCCGCATTTTGTGAGAATGCACTCAAAAAATAGAAGGAGTTTAAATTTAACGGATGACACTGAACATTTAGTTAGATAGTTAAATTGTTTATTTAGTTAGTACCTATTTATATCTATTTTCTTTTTATACTAAATATTTAATTTATTACTAACACTTATTCAATTCTGTTCATTTGTAGTAATTCCTTGTTCTTTTTAAATTTTGTTAAAATCTACTTTTAATCATTAAATTTAGCATTTTTCTTGTTTGGCTAACTTACTACTTATTATTTTGAAAAAAATACATTTTTCACCCGACCTGACAACTTTTTAAGGTATTTGTGATTTTCTATGGTTTTTATCAATTTATTCTTAATTACTATCAAGTTAGCCCTGGATAAAAACAATTA